GCCGTTCAACCCAGCTCTGCGACGAATGCGATTGAGCAACATGATGCTCTTGTACAATTTTAGAGTGCGCCGTACTGGGATTAGTCAAATTCGCTCAACACTTTTTGTTGAAACTGCGTGACATCCTTATTGAATTGTAAAATATAATCACACCAGGATTTGATATCCTAGCTGCTCTACATGTCCTTGGCATAATAAATTTTCAATATGACATATATGGTGACAGTTCCTAATTTAACTCAAAAATAGGAACATTTTAACTTCTATTGAATTTTGGAGCTAACATAAGGACTAATTTACCTAGTTAAGAGCTTGATTGTATATAAATATGAATTTTTTTAGTGAAATGTCATGAAATTCAATTTAATTGTTCCTACTTAGGGACCAATCCTAATTAGAACATGTGACTACTTGTCCACAAGCTTTGCCAAAATTGCAAGTAGAACTTGATCCATCTTGTTTTGTCGTTCCTGACGAGCCGCATCAATAGCTTCTTCTCGTTGAACACGTTCCTCGGTACGTACACGTTCACGCTCTTCTCTCGCCGCTTCCATGGCTACCATGGCCTCGAACATTGCCTGCCGAGCATCCCGTTGTTCGAAAATCAGGCGTCTCTTGATTGCCTCGTTTTCCGCTGAATCCGTCAGAATTTCGTCGATCCGGCGTCGTCGCTGAGCGGTCTGACTCAACACAGTCGCAGGAGCAGCGCTTGACAGAGCGACGAGCTCTGTTGGGCTAAGCCCAGTTCGTGGAGTTGCAAACACGGTGGCACTATGCACGGCGGGAGCAGCACAGATGGCTGCATGAGGTGTCGATGGTTCGCTTCTGGACGTCGGGTCGCTTGGGTGGGAGCTTGTATCACTTTCGTTGTTGTTGTCGGACTCCAAATCGGCAACGGACATGCGGGACTCAATCATGCTGTTGATACGTTTGGCACGTACGACGTCATGTGGACAGGATGGGTCACCAGTGGGCTTGCGGACGTTGCGCAGCACCTTGTACTTGCGTCGCATGCTGTCAACATCGCGAGGGATCCACCCGGACTCTTGGGCGGCGCGTGAGTTGTACTCGGTCTGCACTTGTACTCGGTCTGCACTTCTTCCCAGTGGTTTCCACCCAGCGGCAAGTGTTTCTCAATACAGTCCAGTAATATTTGAGTCTCTGGAGAGCTCCATCCTTTGCCTCTTCCTCTTGGTCCCATAAGAATCAACAATGATACAGTAACAAGGACGAAGTATTTTACTCTTTAAAACCACTGATTTCTAGCCAATGATATGTTGGTATATACTCCGGTTTCTGTGAACCCATCTTTGTGTCAGCGAAATTTAATTCATGTTTTGCCCGGATAATTTCGAGCCAGTGCTGGCGCAAATTATAGTTTGCGCCGGAGCCATCCATTGGATGGCTTCGGAAACCGGCATTGGTTATGATGAGCAATGCCATTACCTCCCTTCGTCAAGCTGCGGAGTGGGGCATGGGCGCCGTCGAGAAAGTGTACAGACAACTGCTTCTGCCGTTACCGTTCAACCCAGCTCTGCGACGAATGCGATTGAGCAACATGATGCTCTTGTACAATTTTAGAGTGCGCCGTACTGGGATTAGTCAAATTCGCTCAACACTTTTTGTTGAAACTGCGTGACATCCTTATTGAATTGTAAAATATAATCACACCAGGATTTGATATCCTAGCTGCTCTACATGTCCTTGGCATAATAAATTTTCAATATGACATATATGGTGACAGTTCCTAATTTAACTCAAAAATAGGAACATTTTAACTTCTATTGAATTTTGGAGCTAACATAAGGACTAATTTACCTAGTTAAGAGCTTGATTGTATATAAATATGAAATTTTTTAGTGAAATGTCATGAAATTCAATTTAATTGTTCCTACTTAGGGACCAATCCTAATTAGAACATGTGACTACTTGTCCACAAGCTTTGCCAAAATTGCAAGTAGAACTTGATCCATCTTGTTTTGTCGTTCCTGACGAGCCGCATCAATAGCTTCTTCTCGTTGAACACGTTCCTCGGTACGTACACGTTCACGCTCTTCTCTCGCCGCTTCCATGGCTACCATGGCCTCGAACATTGCCTGCCGAGCATCCCGTTGTTCGAAAATCAGGCGTCTCTTGATTGCCTCGTTTTCCGCTGAATCCGTCAGAATTTCGTCGATCCGGCGTCGTCGCTGAGCGGTCTGACTCAACACAGTCGCAGGAGCAGCGCTTGACAGAGCGACGAGCTCTGTTGGGCTAAGCCCAGTTCGTGGAGTTGCAAACACGGTGGCACTATGCACGGCGGGAGCAGCACAGATGGCTGCATGAGGTGTCGATGGTTCGCTTCTGGACGTCGGGTCGCTTGGGTGGGAGCTTGTATCACTTTCGTTGTTGTTGTCGGACTCCAAATCGGCAACGGACATGCGGGACTCAATCATGCTGTTGATACGTTTGGCACGTACGACGTCATGTGGACAGGATGGGTCACCAGTGGGCTTGCGGACGTTGCGCAGCACCTTGTACTTGCGTCGCATGCTGTCAACATCGCGAGGGATCCACCCGGACTCTTGGGCGGCGCGTGAGTTGTACTCGGTCTGCACTTGTACTCGGTCTGCACTTCTTCCCAGTGGTTTCCACCCAGCGGCAAGTGTTTCTCAATACAGTCCAGTAATATTTGAGTCTCTGGAGAGCTCCATCCTTTGCCTCTTCCTCTTGGTCCCATAAGAATCAACAATGATACAGTACAGTAACAAGGACGAAGTATTTTACTCTTTAAAACCACTGATTTCTAGCCAATGATATGTTGGTATATACTCCGGTTTCTGTGAACCCATCTTTGTGTCAGCGAAATTTAATTCATGTTTTGCCCGGATAATTTCGAGCCAGTGCTGGCGCAAATTATAGTTTGCGCCGGTTTCCGAAGCCATCCAATGAACAATTAGTACTAGTATTAATTGGAATAAAGAATCTGGCTAAAATAAATACAAGTCAGTATACATAATCCAGGTGAAGTTTAGAAACGCTCTTGGAAACTCGAAGTATATAGAACGGCTAACATCCCGCCACAATTTCAGCCAATGAAATTTATTTCGCCTCGATTTGGTGGAGTTTCATTGGCTCCCTCCAAATTGAGCCCCCACATTGCGATTTTGTTGGTCCAGCGCATCATCATGGCGAAGAAGCAACCGAAACAAGTACGCCGACGACTCCTCCGTGAGTGTCATGTCATACCGTGAGTAGGAGAAGCGGAAGCGCGAGGAAGTCGAGGAAGAAGGAGAAGAGGAAGACCGCCATTATGACTTGGACGAATCCGTTCAAGACGCCGCTCCTGCGGTGACGAAGATTGAGCCCCTCATCATCCAAGGTCGGGAATTGAAGGAAGGTGAACCGGGCACTCTCACGGGCCGCCCTCTGCGTCTGTTTGCGGACGGCATCTTTGACTTGTTCCATTTCGGGCATGCGCGTGCGTTACAACAATGCAAGCAGGCCTACCCGAACGTGTCCCTCTTGGTAGGAGATATCCCATTCAACTACCTTCGGATACCTTACAAACGATGTGTGCATGCAGGTGGGCGTATGCAGCGACGAAGTGACCCATCGCTTGAAGGGTCAAACCGTCATGACGGAAGATGAGCGGTACGAGTCCGTGCGCCACTGCAAATGGGTCGACGAAGTCATCGAAGACTCGCCATGGGTGTTAACAGAAGCATTTTTGGACGAACACAACATCGACTTTGTCTGTCACGATGCCATTCCGTACACAGACACGAGCGGCACTGCCGGCGACTCTGGTATGTTCCTCCTCGGTATGCTTGCGTCGTCCCCCTCTCATGAAGGGTGGTGTTGGTGATGCAGGGGACGTGTACGGCCACATCAAAGCGATCGGCAAGTTCCACGAAACGACCCGCACGGAAGGCATCTCCACGAGCGACTTGATCATCCGCATCATCAGCGAATACGACACGTTCATCCGTCGCAACTTGAAGCGCGGGTACTCGGGGAAGGCGATGAACGTGCCGTTCCTAAAGGAGAAGGCGATCCAAATCGACATGGCCATGGACAAAGTCAAGCACGACATCGACGTGGTCGTGCACAACTTCCTCGGGAAGGCCGAAGACGCGCAGCACTCGTTCCTCAACATGTTCTCCAAGGACGGCGCCCTCCGCACCGGCCTCCGCAAGCGCCGAAAGATCCTGCAGGAAAGCCTCAAGGACATGGCTCGTGAAGGTCTCTGCTAAGCCGCGCGGCCTCATATACACCCATCCTTTTCATGTTCCTCCCTCTATGGATTCTCACTTTATGGCAAAGATCCGAGTTGCTGGAATTTATCCAATCAGAATCTCAGATTCAAACGAGCCAATCAACAAACTGCAAAACGATTTATTATCCAATCAAATAACGTGGTGGAATGTCCATCGACCCAATCAGAGGCCGCCATTCTCGCGTTTCAAGAAGAATGCTTTGAAACCACAGCGCGGACGAAATCCGTGTCGGGGTCGATTGGACTAAGCGAGAAGAGAATGCCGTCGAGGTGGCGGCGGAAGATGTCGGCTGCCTCGCGCGGACATCCTGCTTTCAAGAAGTCCACGCCTGCATAGAATGCCTCGTTCGAACTGCATTGCAAGGACGGCACTGCAACGTCCCAAGGCGGATTCAACTCGTGGAGGCGGCGGCACGCGTCGTCAAAGGTCAACCGTCCTTCAATCACGGCACTCGCATGTTCCCGACGACGCACCAAGTCGCGCCACGCCTCTGCCGCGCGCTTGTATGCCACTTTAGGATTTACCTCAGTTGCGAATATCGACTTGGCATCCATTTCTCGAGCAAGAAAAGCCGCCGTAGTGGCCACCACCTTGAGGCTCTCAAACTGCAAGTAGTGCAATGGCGAGAGAAATTCGGCAATGGCATCTCGCGCCATACCCATCGCACGTATGGTGGACGGCGACTTCCCCGCGACGAGCATCTGCTCTTTTGCGTTGTCGAGATTTCGTTCCAGGGCCGTTTCTAATGCCATCGCTGCCTTCAAGTCCTCCGCCGCAATCGTCTTCTTACAAGTCTCGCATCGCCAGGTACTACCGGTGCACAAAGCCCATGCATTGTCACATCGCGGACACTCTAACGGCCGACACACGTCTTTGCCCATGCAGCGGGCGCACGTACAGTCGAAGTACTTCGTGCGACGCAACTCAGCTTGGCGAGCACTCCGGATCATTTCTGGCGCGGCTGAAGTGTACGAGAATTCAATCGCGGCTCCGGTGGGAATGTCTCGTGTCGCCACTTACTCCAGTCGACCCGACGTACTGCTGTAGTGAACATTAGGGGAGCACGAATTCTGGGCCTTGGATGCAACTCGAAACACGGCGGAGGGGGGGAGATCGTCGGACTGGTTGGGGTGGAGTGCTGACATCACGGTGTCGCCTATGCCTGGGTCGGCTGCGCGGAACGCGTGTGCATTAACTTGCGAGATCAACAACAAGTGCGCCGCCAAGGACGGAGACATCTCACCGCCCCATACTCGGGCGCGTGTACACATCGTTTCAGCCAAATTAACGAAAGTAAGAGCCTCAGGGGAATCGAGCGGCGGATGGTACAGTTCCAGGACAGCGGCGCGCGTTGCTGCGTCGGCATGGACGTACGCGGCAAGAAAACAGTAGTCGGTTTTGTTGGGACATACAAGCAATGGCATTTCGGCGAGCACGAGGTCCCCGACAGAGAAAGGTCGGGTGGCGCGAAGGACCTTGCCGAGGGGTGTATGGGTGTCCGTCACTTCAACTCCGTCCAAGTATTCACCCACACGATGCAGTCGCCAGGATGGAGAAGTTTGATTCATGGCATTTCGTGCAAGACGAAGATGCTGCTGTCCGCGAGTGCGGCAGTACGCTTTGTGTTTCGGCCATTCCGCACGTTGACATGCACGTCCACAGTACGACACGTTCTCGCAAGTTCCGCAGAGAAGGAGTCGACGCGTGTCATGTCCGCAGTGGTCGCACGGGTAGGAAGGCGGTTCCATGGAGCGCACTGGCACCGCCGCCCCTTCCCACGTGGGACGTGGACTGGTCAACGGATGCATCTGAAAATCCAACTCTTCGCGCGCGCGCTGTCAAATTCAAAAGTAAGGATCCATTCTCCTTGTCATTATTGGTGGGTTTTTGTTTTAATTTTGACCAATGGGTGAACGTTCCAAACGGTGGGTTTTGGACAGAATCAATCGTGTTTATTATTTGAAGCAGACGTCTGGAACTGCACCAATCACGATGCATTATTGGCCACGGGCTATCGAGAACCAGAGGACAACCACAGCGCCATGTCGTCCAAACGTCGCAATGAACATGCGCAACTGCGGCGTGAAGAGTACGAGTCCATTATGGATGACGAAGGGTCAGCAGAATCTGGTGGGCTAGCTCGTGCTTCCGACGAAGCCATCTCCAAGCGCCGTATCGTCACCGCCCGTGGCAGTAAACGCTCGGCGACATCTGCCGCACGGACGACGTCAGTCCCTTCTCCCGTACGTATGCTAGTGTTTTCCTTGTTGTTGTTCATGTTTCTATCCAGGCGAAACCATTTGCCGCAGCACTCAGCACACCGGCGTCAACTTCCTCGTCGTCTACCACCAATCCATTCGCTGTATTTGGAGGCCTCACAACTCCGGTGCCACCAGCTGCCTCAGCGAACCCGTTTGCTGCGTTCAAAGGCCTCACGTCAACGACCCCCGCTCCTTCCGCGACCTCGTCGTTCACAGCCCCTTCCTCTGGATTCCAAGGCATCCTTCCTCCATCGACAACGGCAGCAGCGCCATCGACCACGGCAGCAGCACCATCGACCGTGTCCTCGAAGAAGAAAGGACTGACGTTTCCGTGGATCAAAGCCAAAGTCGCCCAGAAATCCCGCGACGAGGCGCGTGCGACGTGCTTGGAGCTGCTGAACAAGGAGTTTTATGCGTTTGTGCAGCAGCAAGTCGTTGAAAACCCCATGGCGCTGTGGACGACAGCGATCCACGTGAGGCATTTTCCCTTTTCGACTCTCTTCAACGAGGATTTTGCCCAATGCTATTTGTTTTGTTTGTATTCCTTAGGAATACATCCATCACGTGGAGAGCGTCGAGACGGATCTGGACGTGTTGTACGGTCCTGCGCCGCCTTCCGCCGGGAAACCTCTGTCGTCGTCGGACGCTGGATTCACATTTGGCGTCCAAACGCCGTCCGCCACAACGTTACCCACTCCACCATCGCACAAGGCGGTATCTGGATTCACATTTGGCGCCAACCCCCCCGCAGGATTCACATTTGGAGCCACAAACGACACGCCAATTGGGATTCCAGCGTCCGCCGCCACCCAACCCCCAGTCGTGGTTGAAGCTGCCACCAAGTCGTCTGCGCTCAACTTTGGACAACCATCTGCGACCATCATCGCATCGAGTGAACCTACGAAGCCGACGGCGTCGGGCTTTCATTTCGGCGCTCCTGCCGCTTCTTTGTCGTCACCTTCTCCGTTTGAATTTGGCAAAAGCCCGTCATCCGTTACTGGGTTTACTTTTAGCCAATCAGCGACCTCCGAACCATCGAAACCGCCCGCTTCTGGCTTTTCGTTCAACTTGGCTCCTAGTACTACTAGTAGTAGTACTACTACTTCAACTACTATTACTCCAAGTACCCAAACCAACGACGACGACGACGACGACGAAAACGTGGGTCGCGAAGAAGCCACGGTGATTCTCAAGGTACGATCTACTAGTTAGTGTATGTACTAGTAGTAGTAGTCGTCGTCGCTAGTACTACTAACTATGATTCGAGGGCAGAGCGACTCGGAAGCGGACGAAGTAGTGTTGTTTGAAGAAGCATTGGTGCGGCTGCGGCAGTTCAAAGCGGCGGACAAGGCATGGGCGGACTTGGGGTCGCATCCGCTTAAGCTCCTACATAACAAATCCACCGGCGCTACCCGGTAGGACGGGATGATGATCACACGGAGATGGTGATTGTATGGATATAGCATTGTGATCCGCAACTCGATTGGCAAGATCATGCTGAACGCGGGACTGTTTGCTGGCATGACGGTGCAGACAAAGCCCAAGAGCGTGCTCCTTCCGCTCATGCACGAAGGCAAGATCGCCAACTTCCTCTTTGGCATCCTGCCCGCGCGTATCCCCGAGTTCAAGGCCCAGCTCGACCAACATGTGCCCAAGTAATAGTATACCGTTCATGTGTGCTGCTGCAACGGTTTGACGTCGTCAATTGCGACAGCTTCCTTACCTCCCGTCGTGGCATTTCAAATCGCCGTTACAATGCAAGAAGGACCATGGTACAGACGTGTACCGTAATGGCGACAGGGGCGAGAGAGACCATTGCACGCTGCAAGTGAATCTGGTCGTCACGTAGTAGTACTATGTATATATAAGGTGAGAGGGTTAGACCCGCGAGGACGAGCACTTCACATGCAGAGGACGAGGAATGGACTACAGATCGCTGAAGAGTCGAGCGTAGACGTTGATGATGAACGCTAGAACGAGCGACTTGGCGCCGCTGTCCGGCACGCCATTGCGTTCCATGGCGTCCTTCATCGCTCGGAGGAGTTCATCAGTCGAGGAAGGATGCAGCATCCCTCCAGAGTTTTCGCGTTCAATCGCGCGCCACAGCTCATCAATGTTGTCTTGGCCAGACGAAGTGGGTGATGATGATGTCGACATGTCGGGGTAAAAATGGAACTCCGTGGATATGTCATGACGACGACCACATATCCCGTTATATGAACACGTAAGGTATGGCTCTTTCCAATATTTAAATTATGACATACAAAGTACAAGACAATGGCTGCATTATTAATACTCACGACCAAATTTGGGTTCAGGATATGCTGAAGTTGCACTTGACCAAGTTCAACCCATGGAGGTGCCACGGGATCTCATCCGCCACCATACGCGTCGCAAGATGGGTGAGGAAGCCAGGAAGGCCGCCTTCGTACATGAAACCACGCTAGGAAACCCTGCTAATGCTACGTCATGTCCACTTGAGCATTTCATGCACACGTCGCATAACCTGCTCCGAGCGCTCTGCGCATCCTTCGTGTTGCCGCCTTCAAAGCACGATCTTCATGGGATGAACTCGCAGTATAAGCATTGTACAAAGTTTGGATATTACAGTGATAAGTTAAAGGGATTCAATGCATTGGCGGTGGTCGGCGGCGTTGACCATGGGGCCGCCGAATCGAAAGTACGATATCAGGGGGATGCCCATCAACTGCTCGACGAATGACCGCATCTCGCTTCGACTCAACTTGCCGTCGCCGTCCGTGTCGAACTCGTCGAAGTCGTTGTCAAAGTCAAATGGTTCCACTTGGCCGCCGTGGGCTTCAATGGCGCAGGACAGGAGGCTCACAAAGTACTGCGCCGTGTGTTTCTCCAGGACGCCCTTGCCGTTCGGGTCCAGCGCCATCCACATGTCGGCAATGCAATCGTCGACGATCGTCTTGATCTGGTTCATCTCGTCCGTTGGTCTGGCGGGAGTTGTGTCACGATCGCAGCGAATTCGGAAGTGTAACGTGATGGTGCGAGTTCTCTCGCCAGGTCGTGGATATAGCATGGCCAGTATCCATCAATTTAGTGCCATCTACATACAAACCCCAAGCCAAATATGCACAAAATCGATGGATGTGGGCCTTGCCATCGGTTTGGTGACATGTCACTGTTTTTATTTCGAAATTGACCAACGAGCCAATCACAGCACGACGACATAAACCAACATTCCAACGGGGGTTTGCGTTGCATGGGAATGCTGATGAGTAATTTGAACAATTCAACCCAAATCCGGTAAATGCAATGCTATATATACAAAATATATGCCAAATTAATGAGTATACGTAAGAATCAGTCAGGATTGTATTTGAAAATATTGATGAATATAGTCAAATGTATCGCTTACCTTTGCACGGGTATATATAAACATAAGAAAGGGGGTATATTAGTACTCGTTGGACACCGAGCAATTCCCCGTCAATTAAAGGTGAGGCCCTGTTGTTTTTCTCGAAATACCACTTCACATGTCTATGAGGGATTTAAGCCATCCGGATACTGGTCCGTAGCCCTGTAACTTGGGGACGAGGACATATAATGCTAAATCCCTGGGATTATACATACCTGCATTACCAGTGGTTGGCTACTACTCCGAGTTACCACTAAGATGCACTTAACCCCGAGTAAGAGGTGAGGCGACCAATTTCTGAGAAAAGAAGCAGTGGATAGTTCTACTGTTATTCGGGGAATTGTACAGTACTTTGACACTGGTCGAACAACTTCAAGTTACAGTAAAGATGCCATAAATTACTACCGGTAGTACAGTATTCCAATCGCATATACTTCTTTGTTCAATGCTACTGTTTGGGCTCTCAGCTTCAGGGAAGTTTTGGCAGCACCAGTCAGTTGGATACAGGTATTGATTGTGCTGTCAATAATAACAGTGATCTTAATACAGTGTAAGAGTGATCTTGCAAATGAAATGACACAGTGAGACATTTCGGTGCACGCACTGGAGAAATTTCAGTCTTAATATATTTCCAGTCAGAAATTCGGATTGGACAAACCTTTACACACTCACAACCATTGCAGTTGGTCAAGCAGGCCCATCGCTTCACGATCCAACATGATGTAAAATCTTATAAAGGAGTTATTCTCCACTCGACGATATCACGTACAGAACTCAAATGACACCGCCGGTAGCATGACGTTCCAAGGAGTTGATAGTTGGTGAAGTCGCTGATTTGCTGCCACTTGAATATTCCAATACAATGATTGGACAGAGATAATCGGAATATTCACATTTGCAAAATCACACTATTACACACATATGGGGGTGTATGACAGTAGTACTAGTATGAAGCAATACAAAATGTAATGACGCAGTGTCACAGAAATAGACCGTGAAAGTTGCATGAATTATGAGCATATCGTTGAACAGTTGGCAGTGTCAGTTATGTCAGGTCGTAGCGGTGTCACGCGACCCTTCAATTGCTTCGCACCGACTTTTTGGTGCTGTCGTAACGCCTGGTGACGGTTCAGGGGTGCAGTGTTTCATTGGTTCGCCCGGTATCTTTAGGTTTTATCACGATTATGGAGTTGGCAAATGTCATCATAACGTTACCAGGAGGGTGCTGGAAATGACCAAACCAGCGAAACTCAAATGCATTGGCAGCATACCACGCAGCTCGATCGCACTAGGTCTTATCATACCTGATAGACACACTAGGGGCTGAGGACATTCGATTGGCCATTCGACAAGGCGCAACGACCTGGAACGCATGGTGTAGTGACTTCACCTCAAAACTGTTCTAATGGACTTGACATTGAATTGTGAGAAATTTTAATAACCAATTAACATAATAATAAAACATTGCTTCAAATATGACTTCATAATTTATGATCAACTTTGTTAGCAAACTTAGAAAGCTTAGGGAGATGCGGGAACAGGACACAAACACATCACTATGAAGAAATAAGGGCCCTTGACTCCTTCGGATCATGGAGTGCCATTGTCCAGGGGATATATATGCAATTTTATTCAAGTTGTCACGTGCGAGTCAACCAGGAACTGAATCTGCCACGCAATCAAACGACCTGTGCATGCGCGCGACAGTTCCATATTATTATTCGCTTACAGTTAAACATCTTTATGTCGATATTTGTATTATGTATGTGTATTTGTTGTATTCATCTCCATAATTATTTACGTTTTGCACAAACGATTTATTTATATATCCTGCAGATTGTGCATGTGAACATGCAAGAAAGGCGCGATGCAGGTCAGCGATTTCTCAATGCATACTGCACAACGGGTCACGAAACTCTCCATTCCTCATAACAACAACCAGTACTATCAAGAACACCTTATTGCATGTCTCCTGAATCAACAGCTGCAGAGACAGACAAGTTCGAACTTGGCAAATTCGTCGTATTTCAAGAACAAGCGTGTACATGCGGGTAAGATGCCTCATGCCAGAGAGAGATGTGTATGCGCAGACAATGCTGCATAGGCTGAGCTAGTAATGGTATGTCTATCTAGTAGTAGTAGTAGTAGTATTGCTGTAAGTATTACACAGCTCGAGAAAAGTGTCCTCAAAGTCGCCCATTTTCGATATTTGCGCATGTCGACATGTCCGTGTACCACAATAGCATGCACATGCGCAATAAAAATATATCATCCGCAAATGAAATGAAGTATCCGGAACTGCTCAGTTTTCAATTTGAAATGGCGTGAAGTTTCTGAATGCAAGCACCACACTTGCAGAGAGCGATAGAAAGCGTGTCAGTACAGCAGCCAATGTCACTCTCCAACAAGTTGGATGACTGCGAAGAAAGTCTAGATATTGCTTCGCCAACCATGAATGCCTCGATTTTGGCCAGTGTACTAGCTTTTGCAGTGGTACATATGTGCGTTAAAGGTGACATATACGGTTTTTATGATTAAAATGGCTTTAATCCTTCGTCCATTTCGGTAAACACATGACGTTACCTTCATCAATAGGATTACTACCGGTATACTAAGAGTATTAATACTATTATAATAGTACTATTTTAATACAGTACTTCGAAGTAGTAGAGATGTTGAAATGTCTCATCGGTCGCAGCCTCAATAATAATGAGCTCGTAGGATTGTATAATACGTGCTCGTATAGCAAGGGGCAACGTTATCGCCTCGAGTAGTGCTCCGGTGCAAGTGTTTTTGTCCTGTTAACGTAAACGTGGTGGTATTATAACGTCACCGTTTATTTAGTTTAACGTTATGTTAATTTCTACACCGAGTAAAACGTACTAATAACCCAGCCGACCCATTCGTGGGCACGCCAAGAGCTTCCGAGAGCGAGTCGGCGAGACATACACCTGGTTTTGCGCCGGCCAAGACGCCGGCAATGGCAAAGCCAAACGAACGAACGATCGACACTAGACTGTCTACGGTCATACCGGCGTCATGGAAAGCAGACGACCGTCCAACTGCCGGCGAAAGGTGCTCGAGCCAGCCCTGGAGTCGCCGAAGACAGCAATGCATGCAAACCCTCGATCCACGACTTGTTAGGCTAGGCATAGCCCGGACGAGAACGGATCGACCACCACCACCGCTCTCTGCATGACGAGGTTGGTGGGATGTGTACATCCGGATAAAGTTACGTTTAAGCGTTTCGTACCCATTGAGTGCCATTCCGAATATTTAGGGTGCGTCTAAAATTTTAAAAACAACACATCAAAACGAAGTGATGAGATGCTATTTTTGGAAGCAAAGATAGCTAACAAAGTTGATCAATTTGGATGTTATATTTGACACAGACACTTTCAAAGCCACACAAGATGAGCCAATGTATACCGACCAGTCCGAGACTCTATCCGCGTGTTCACGAGCATTATCTCTACATAATGACGTATCATACAGGTCGCTACGAGGTATATTCATCGAGTTATTTACTTAAAAGTAGTTTATACTTGCGTTTTTTGCTACTTTTAGGACTCATCGCTCACGCTACAAAGTTGCAATCGTCATATTTCTAGCTCTAAACGATAGCCTGCGACTAAGTTTGCAATATCTACATTAATTACACCGCTCGCAGGCAAGCCGTTAGAGAGATATTCGATATGCGGGAACTGGAGAGAAAAACTCATCAGATCACGAAGTTATGGGTCTGCCGCCCGTCGCAACAAGTTCGTGATGGGCGAAACCATTCGAAAGGCGGGACTTCGCGCCGTCAAGCAGTGCCGCGCGATGACTTGGGCCGACGCCGAGCGTTTTATTTCGTCGCGCCTCCTTGTTAACGGTTCTTGATCGGTGTCAGGGCTACAGCATCTCCAGCGCCACCCTGGCCGCGTAGTACTTCGAACGACCTGCCTTTGACAGGCTTCCGCGTGTGCCACGTCAGCTGCACGCACTGGGTGTTAAAGTGGTCAATTACGACCATAGAACGTTGAAGGTCAGCTATGCAGTCGTACGAGGAGTCCCGCGTCGAGTCGACGGTGGCGGTGGTCGTGACCCCCACCATCGATGCGTTTACTTCACCTGGCTGCATCCTGCTGGTGTATGCAGACAGCCGCGTGCGGGAACGTCATGGCTTGTACGAGTTCGCTATGACTGAGAGGACGGAGATGTATGGCCCCGCTTCCAACGACGTCGGCCTCGTGGTGCACCCACTTGCAGACGGAGATGCCGTCGTCGCGTAGTCACTGGGTACTGCTATAATATGTATGAGAAATGCATCAAAAACTCGTGTAACCGTCGTTGTCACACTAAATGCCGTTGTCACACTAAATGCCGTTGTCACACTAAATTCTGTTGATACGGATGTAGTACTAGCTTGTACTGCATTATTCATCTACCAGTAACAGTTATTATTGATGGTATTAATAGTATATACGTTGTCCTACTGTTAACCATGACCCATGGTTGAATAGTGTAAGCCACATACGTCTACGCAGTAGTAGATTTGACCCTGAATTAGTGTGCGTTACCGGTGGGGCTTGTCTGGGCCCTTTATTGACGGCAACGTGACGGACACGTGCTCGGCCGAGGTGGGGCGCGTGGGGGAGTGGACGGCGGCGGCCATGTCGCCCTTGGAGGACGCGGCCTTGACGAGGCGGTCCTTGTGCCTGGCCGAGTGTCGGCGGCGGTGGCCATCGAACCACGGGTGTTCTGCCACGTCATAGATGGTCGGTCTGTTCTCTGCATCTTCGGTCAGCATGGCCTGGAGCAGCGCCTTGGCATGGGCAGAGTACGCCGCGTCCGCCACCGCTCTGTGCATCGCCGCCACGTTCTATCAAAAATACCATCCGGTTCACCATCTGGTTGGTTTTTCAACATAGTCGATTTGATCCAAATTTGGGGAGGGGTGCAATCGAATCGCCCGATCCACAATTGATCTGATTGGTTGAATTTCATTGAGAAGGTTTTGATTGGCTAGTAATTTTGAGCTCGTCTGAAGTAGCCAATCAAATCGATTTAAATACCAACGAAATTTCACTCGAAAGCACAATATTTCAAAATTATAATATCCCATTACCTCGTGCAGCAACGTGTCAAAGTGTGTGCGGTCGCCCAACACGTCGAGGTGGTACGCTGTCATCCACGTCTTGAGAAAGAATGTGTTGCCAAGGAGGAGCTAGGTACGACGTGACAACCCCATGCTATACGTAGATATAGCAGCATGGCGACATACTACTAGTAGCTACTAGTACGTTCGTGACCTACCTCGAGCAAGATGCACCCAATGCTCCAGACATCAGCCTTTTGGCCGTCATATTGGTCGTGCAAGAGCATCTCTGGGGCAAAGAAGCCGGGGCTGCCGCAGAAATCAGTCAGTGGCGTTGTGCCCACCTTGGCACACAACCCAAAGTCCACAATCTTGACCATGTAGTTGTCGTGCGTAAATAATATGTTTTCCCTACCATCATGCTCATATATATATTTATGTAGATAAATATATCGTGATATACGGTTTCAAGTCGCGGTGGCAATAGCCATGCATATGCATGTGCTTGACCGCTTCGACGATCTTGAACGCAATGCGCAGCGCCGTAGCTTCCGACACTCCCTCTATCCATCAACAGCATGATCATTCACATCATCATGGTCATCAACAGCATGATCACTGCTGCCATGGATACTAATATTCGTACGTACTGTCATGGGGACCGAAGAAGTCGAACAAGTCCTTGCCGCCGCGCTCCGTGACCAAGTAGATGAACTTGGACGTGTGAATGACATGCTTGACGCTGAGAAGACTCGGATGTCTTAATGCTGGGTCGGACAAGGCAGAGATCTCCGAGTGAACGCGGACCAGCGCCGTGATGTCGTTGAGCTTGCTCTTGTTTATGGCCTTGAGGGCCAACGTTACAACAACGTTGTCCACCGTTGGCGACGACGACGACGGGGTGGCGTGGGGCAGTTGTAGTCCAGTACTAGTAGTACTAGTAGTACTAGCTGACGAAGCTACTGCGTTGCGGCTGCAAGCGTACACGGCTGCGTACTGGCCTTCGCCGAGGGTGCCGTGGATTGTGTAGTCGCCCACGATGGTCACGCTTTCCATGACGTCGTGGGCTAGAGGCGGGATGAGGCTCAAGGACGAGTCGTGCTGGGGTAGGTATTCCCATAGTATGCGCTGGTTGGCTTCAAGAACTCTAATTGTATGGATTCAGTGATATATATATATATAGAAAGGTGTACTTGACATATTGAGCTTGCAGTTCGTGGACATCGAGATTGAACTGCTCGAATTCCATGTGCAGGGTTGCACACCGGTCGTTGGATGCGTGGAGTTCGTGTTGCAATCGCTACGATGACGTGATAACGTCATGAGGATGGTATGTCACCATGACAGATACATTCTTGTCAGGTGTATGTATATACCTCGACCTCAGCTTGGAATGCCTTGATGCGCTTCTCCATCTTGGCCACCTTCTTCTTGTACTTGTCCACGTCGGGTTTCCACTCTGGCAGAGTGCTCTCACTCCCTTCAATGCCATGCGATGGTTTGGGAAGGAACCAAGTCGCTATATCCCCTGGAGCCATCCGTCTCCTTGACGCCGCCTAGATGCACACTAGTATGACAGATCCCTTCGACATACTATATAGGTACTGACTGTACCACGTGCTGAGGCTTGTCCAGACATTCTTTAACCTAAGATACACACACCATGGCCCTCGGTTACCCAGCGATCCTAATACCTGGATGGATCATTACACTGGTCAGAGACGAGTTACGGGCCAGCACGTCGACCAGGTATGCCTTGGACTCGAGCACTGCTGCAAGCACCATGTCCATCGTGTGTGCATCTGGAGCTAGGAGCAGAAGCATCTCCATGGACAGGACATGTTCGGATGGTGCGTCAGTTGGTATTGCCGCTCCGTCGTCGCCGTCGCAGCTCATGGCGGGACGGACTTTCGAACCGTCGGCGGACTGGTTGAAACCACTTTGTCATGACGTTGAAATAGTGTGGTGGCGTAATTAGTGTTAGACCGTTACACCAACTCATGGATGTATTTGTAGCAATAATATAAGTATCGACCCCAGTCAGCATCGGAATGCCGATAATAACTAGCTCAAGCCCGAGGCACTTGCATGTTGTGATGAGAGCATTCGTTGCGCTATCGATTACTGTACTCCCGTAGCTGCTAACGTTGCTTTGAATTATAGACAGTACGATGAGGCTATCATCATTCACATGCAAAGTCACAAAGATAGTAGAGACACCCCCCCCCGCTTTGTGCACCAAGTACCTAATCAGTACTACCTAACAGCATGCTCATTCTCCGCCATCCATTCATACGAGCATTGTCCACTAATTGGACATACATCTCGATCTGGACATACTCAGTTCGACATATTTCAGTTCAACGATCAACACTCTGTCGGCGAAGGTCACTGGCGATCAAAATTGGGTACAAGTCGACGCTGTGGAAATTCGATAGTTAACGTTAAACATGGTCATGATAGCAGTATGTATACTAACTATACGTATACTAGTACCCTGTTGTAATCCTAATATGTACAGATATTTGCCCTACATTGTCGACCCACAAGAAACTGAAGTGTGGGTGCAAGTTTGAGCCATAAGAACCTGCTATCCGGATGTCACTGTTCTCAAAAGTCGCACCGCCAAAGCGATAACGACAAAATCAAGGTTGTGGAGCTTTTAAAGTGTCATGACTTACAGGTGTAGGTTGTTAAACCGAGGGATTGGTGACTAGAAACGTTATCCGGATGCCCTTGACCAGAAATTGCGCGATCCATGGAAGCAAGCACCTCTACACTTCTGAATCCGCCGAAACTCCATCATGGCAGACATTCCCTCCACTGAAAACAACCTCCTCTTCGCTGTGCCCAAGAAGGGTCGGTTGCACGACCACATCGTCAAGTTCCTCAATGGCGCCGGCCTCGACTACACTCGGGTACATATCTTCGTGCAAGGTCGTGCATCTGACCCCCTCGATGTATGTAGCCCCATCGATTAGACATCGCGCATTGCTCGTCGCTTCCTGTCACGATTGTGTTCTTGCCTGCATCGGACATTGCTGCGTATGTCGGCGAGGGTAACGTCGATCTCGGGATCACAGGTCAAGACATCATTGCCGAGAGCCAGACCACTGTCAACGAGCTCATGGTTCGAGCAAGTCCTTGTCCATTCTCCGTGCTGATCCCAATCATGCGTAGAACTTGGGGTTTGGCAAATGCTCGTTGTCTGTTCAGGCCCCCGTAGCCAGCGGGATCACCGATCCCTCCGTCTTGGCCGGGAAGCGCATTGTCACGTCCTTTCCAAACGTCGCGCGGGAGTACTTCAAGCAATTTGAAGTGCCCGGCAAACCCACTCGTACGTCGTCTATCGCCTCTTGGTCCTTGCATATCTATCATGTGCTTGTAGACATCAAGTATGTCGGCGGGTCCGTCGAAGCGGCCTGCGGGTTGGGTCTCGCCGACGGCATTGTCGACTTGGTGGAAACCGGCACGACTATGAAGGCGGCGGGGCTCGAGATCGTGAGCAACATCATGAAGACGGAAGCGGTGCTCATCTCGAACCCCAACACGAAGCACGGCAAGCTCGTGACCAAGATCCACCAGCGACTGCTGGGGTTCCTTTTCGCGCAGAAGTATCGCATGATCTCGTACAACATTGCGCGGGACAAGCTCCAGAAGGCCATTACGGTACGAGCGATTCCGTTATCGTAGATGAAGACTGACATGGTGGGCAGATCACCCCAGGCCGAAAAGCGCCGACGATCAACCCGCTCCTGAACGAAGACTACTGCGCGGTGTCGGCGATGGTCCCTCGCCACGACGTCGCGGATATCATGGACGACCTCCATGAGCTAGGGGCCACGGATATCTTCGTGCTCGACATTGAGAATTGTCGTGCTTAACGATACAATGTAGAATGTCATGTTATATAAGCATAAGAGTTCGCATACAGTCGGGAAGGATCGCTCATCGTCGGAAGAGTTACATCATGCATGTGGATTTGGAAGGGGTGTTACTTGTGCCATAGCCGCAGCCACCCCGCGGCCAATTTGTTGGTTTGCTCGACGGTTTGGGTCATCACTTCGATGTTGTCGCTCAGTTGCCGCAAGGACTCGTTGAAGTTCTTCATGGCACTGACATGGGCTTCGTATTCCTTGATCTCTGCGATAACCTTCCTCGACGGCGCAGCACCAGCGGCGACGGCCGCATCCTCATCGTTCACCTCCATGTTCGCACTGCAAGGAAAGCACAGATTCTCGAATTCCACCAATCCAATCGCATTATCAACAATAACACAGTTTAATTGGCTATATTTGAACTCTGGCTTTAAAAATAGTGTGATGACAATGGAGTTATTTAAATGTCCCATTAAACTTGATAAATGTAACACAATAATTGAAGGTAGTGGGCTATTAATCACACTATTTACAATCACTGCCACTGGTCCGCCAACCTCCATCCAGCAATTGCGTTTCCCCATGTTCACCTCCGTTCGGTCCTTCGTTGTCGGCTTCGCTGCGCCGCTTCGCGTGGCCAGTAACCGCCAGATCAACCGCAAGCTCAAGCACCCTGCGACGCTGCGCAAGATCGCGCGTAAGGAAGCCGAGAACCCGGTGGAACTGGTACTCCCGCCCTTGAAGTTCCAGCCCACGTACGTTCCCGAGAAGGTGAGCTTCAACGGATGGTCCCCTGCGCGCGAGGAAGGGCCGTTGGAAGGCATTCCGTTCACTGTGAAGCGCACCGCGACCGGATTGCAACTGCCCGTGTACCGAGACTACCGCAACGGCCGGACGCGCATCATCACGATTGTCCGTCGCTACCACGGCGACGAAGCGGAGCTGCAGAACGAACTGTCCATCGTGTGCCAAGGCAAGACCGTCGTGAGCCGACCTGGTCGATTGGAAGTTGTGGGAGATTACTCCGCCGAGATCAAACAGTATTTTACCGGGTTGGGCTTTTAAGCTGACTACATATACGAAACCCACGTCGTCCTGTTGTCATGTCCAATTGTACATATGGTCACGTGGCTGGCCTGAGTGGAGTTGCATGGTATAACGAGGATTCATTATGACCGTCGGCTATTCCTTCACGAAGAATCAACCATCGATGTATCTAGTCACGTGTCCACTTCAAACGAATTCAGCACTAATGCGTTTGGATCCAGTTAGTCGATCTACTCTTGGAGGACAGTCTCCTTGTTGCCCGCCGCCGCTTTTCTCGCCTTCTTCGTCCACTTCTTGGGCTGCACGACCTCAGGGACCCACACAATGCCGTATGTGTCCAATTCTTGGGCGACCCAGCCATCCAACCGCTCAAGACAGTATTGACTTCGCAAGTCCTCCAAGGGGAACTTGACGCCATGCAATTCCTTGGGAAACGCAGCCTCGGCGGGCACGACGAACGTCGACAACACACTTGTGAGATTCGCACCAGCACCTTGCGTTTCATGCACGGATTGCACCACTTGGAGAAGAAGCTCTTGATCCTTCACGGAGAACGGAGCCTTCTTCCACGACGACATCGACCGCACCCCTTGGCGGCGCAACAGCCCACCAAGCATCGTCATCGCAGCACTCATCTCGACTTCGAATATGACGGACCAACCAATTGTCTCCCATCGACTAAATGCACCAATCACAAGGCCATGTTTGCATTTAGTAGGCACACCGTATACTAGAACATTGCACTGTTTATTCAAGCTATTTTGCATAGTATTACTAACCCCTATAGTACCCTTAGTCGACTGATAGCTTTGAGATACATGTACGTCTTCGTGGGCTAAGGTGGTGGGGAAGCTGGACCTGAACTACTGGCAGGGGCAACAAACAGGGAACGCAACTGCACATGAATATTGGGATTAAGGTGTGAAAATTGATGGTTCTGTCGTCCAGAGTCTAGATGGATTTGGTATCCATGGGCGCCCGGTATCCACCTACGACTTGAGGGACGGCAGTATACACGCTTTGCTGGGAATACACCATGATCTCTGCCGGCGGAGGGCTTCGCATGAGCTCGGCGCGGTACGAGAACGACCGTTGGATTGCAATGTACGTAAGGTAGATCTGGAAGATGTACGAGACTGTACCAAGCACAATCACGACCCATCCCCATGACGTGATCACTGGCCATTCAGACACGACAACGACCAGGACGATCGACGACAGCACTTGCAGGAACAAGATGAAGCAGTTCCCAAAGTAATACTACATGGCAGGAAGTCGATCAGTCATGTTGTATCCAGAATATGAAGCCATGCGTACGTACGAATTGGATGAAGCTGACTTTGCTTTGCACGACGGGGGTGAGCGTGCCGTAGTACCCCACGGCGGCGACCAGGAGCCCGAACAGGCCCGCCCACCACGTCAGGTACGTAAAGACGAACGAGACGAAGAAGACGGCGATCTGGACCACTGCGATCTGGCTACATGGTTCGCGGTGTTCGTACAAGAAGTGAGCTTGGGCGGATTCGTAGTCGTGCATGTTGCCAGGATGTGAAAATGGAATATGATGTTGAAATGTGGATCTTAAAAGATCCGCAGAAGCTGTGGACCAATCACATTGCAGGATGGGCGCGACCCTTCTACTTTGGAAAAAGAAGGCCACTGAAACCGACAGTTTTTAATATTCACTTGCCATTTGTATTGAATGGGAATGCCTGGAATTTAATTTCGATGGGCAATGTCCAAGGTAAGCTGCGAAAGCTACAATTTATAGTCCATTTGATCATGGTGAATGTACATTTGAAACGTGTGAAATAACGGGATAACCATAGCGTCCCAGTGTTTACCACCCATCACGTCGTGATGGTGTGAGCTTAGTGAGCTACAACAGCATCCCCATCTAACGTGACCCTATTCCAGCTCTTCCCATGCATGCGATGGTTCTCGTTAAAGGGAGTTCATGCCGTAGACGTCGGCCATGATGTTGGCAAGCATCCCCGCGAGGCTTGGGTCCGACATAGCCACCAGCGCCAAGTCCTTTTCGATCGGCAAGAAGTACGGAAGAGTCGCGGGTGCCAGCGACAGGTTCGCCAGCACTCCCACCGCCAGCCGCGCCGACTCGGCTCGACCCACGCAGGACGTCACGACGCCCACCAACCTCCGCATGGCATCCGGCAGCGACGCCACCGCCACACGCACCACGTCATGGCGGTCCGTAAGAAGGTACAGCAGATGCACCATGCGGTCACGGACTTGCATGTCCATCTTCCTCGATTCCGGCTCACCATCCCATCCCTTGGACGCAAACACCATGCCCATGTCCGCGCCCACTTCTACTCGATCCATCAACACCATCAATGTATTCGACTTTATTTTATCGAACAAAAACACACCCCATATGTTTCCACGAAAGCCTCTTCAACTGAAAATTCGAACTATTATTATAGATTCGGTAAAAATATTTCCAGACCCCGTCGAATCGACGCTATTGAGTAGATTTGATTGGCTCTTACAGAAGTATATTCAACCAATCAAAAACGCCAGCGTGATTCCATATTGATATTAGACAAACCACGGCGAATTTTGAAGCAAGTTTATAGCGAATTCGCCATATTTCTATTCTTTTTTCTATTTTCAAACCATCACGTCACATCGAATGATCAGCCAAGGGGGTCATAAAACTTGATCGACCAATCAAAACCCACAACCCAAAACAAGTGACCAATCAAATCAATACCGTTCAAGAGTTCGAAATTGGAGTGCCCAATCAAATGAGCAGAATCACCAAATCAGCAGACAATCGACCAATCAAAACCCAATACTCGTTTCGACCAAATATCCACATCGAATTAGTGTGATCTTGGACGATCAAGTCAGAAATATGATACTCAAGAATCGAACGATTTGGCAAACAATTGGCCCAAATTTTGGGTAAAACAAACAAAAATACCTAAAGATGACGGATACGACACTTGGCCACGCTCTTCCCACGGCACCGGCCACGCGTCGTCCGAGTCATCTCCATGAGGATGACAAGTTTCGTCGTCGTCGTCGTCGTTGTACACGGCAGTAGCAGGGTCAGGGTCGTCATCCTCCTGCAGCCACCCATCCTAAACGCGAACTAGTACTACTAGACGATCCCACTAGTATGTATTCGTACTACCTCGCGATTGCGACCACAGCCTTCGACCACCCGCGCAAGCAGCGCCCGGAAGGCCCCGTGTCGCATGACTCGATCTGCACAAGAAGGACTTTGCAGCCAATGGGAGAGGACTTGGGCGGCACTTAACACACTCGACCGCTTCTGGGACGACTCCAACAAGGTCCCCACCACTGCATCAATCCACGCATCCGACACATTCAGCGTAGTACTACTACTAGTAGTAGTACTAGTTGAACCCGCCAGCTAGTACAACCATCAATCATGTCTACTAACTAGTACGACGAGTGGTGGTCTAGTAATACTAGACGTACGTACGTACTTGCACTGCAACGTCCCACAATAAATCGACGGCTTCTCGGTTGTATCTGTCGAGTTGTTGAAGGGAGGAAGGTGGTGAGTAGCGCAACATGCGCGGCACGAGCGCAAGAAACGCCGCGTGGGAGGCCAGATGCGGCTGGTTGTCTGGAATCATGGACAGATTCCTCAAGATGTGGAGGACGCGGCACGTCCGGTCGGCGTGCATGATGGGATGGCCAAACACTCCATCGTGGTGGTTGTTGGTGGATGCCAGGATCGGAGCATGGGAAGGTGACGACAGCTGGCGGACGAGGGCGTCGAGGAGCCCGGGGACGTGCGACAGGAGGAGGTCGCAGTCGGGGTCTTTCGGTGCCCCGAATGAGAGCACAGTCAGTTGGTTGAGCGCCCACTCGACATGGTCTGGCAGGTTCGAGTCGAGCGCTAGCACCAACCGATGCATGACGCCCAAGTCTAACGAGGGATTCCATCAAATCGATCGAGGAATTATTCCATATCTAGAAAGGCTGAGACGTACCGCAGAGCTGGTTTCGATGTGTTTTCAACCGCTTGGTGACGACGGGCAGGGGTGTTTGCCGAATGCTTGTCGCGAGTTGGAGCTCGGCGTGGGTCGCAACGGGCTCTGCCATATCGTCATGACGCCCGCCTTCTTTCCTGGGGCCAATCTGATGGGATTCAAATCCACGCAACCACCTAAAACGATAACATACCCCATGAGAACCCTTCGTATATATATATATATGCCGAATGAGAACGTACGTCGAGTAGAGCACCTGCAGCTTGGACGGCGCGATCTTCAACTTCATGGAGAGAGAGATGCTAGTCCATCGGGAATGTTCGGACACAGCGTCGTACCCTCCCCGTTCGACCACTTCTTCGTACAGTTGAACAAGATCGATACTGCGGGGAATATTGAGCGTGAGATCTGGCACGGTCGGGAGCGCTTGTTGCTGCAGATGCGGCGATACTTTCTGGTAGTACGCCAGAAGACTCTGCAAGATGCGCGTCTTTCCCATGTTGCCGCGGCACAGAAGCTGGAGTTCCACCCATTGCTTTGATCCGCCACCGGCGGGCCGAGCTGGTTGCATCATGGCGACGAAAGTTCGTGGAGAAATGATTATCCGGAATTGGTCACCTTATCCGGATTTCCGCCACATTTGAAACATGGCCGACGAGCTGGCGCGGCTCGAGCAACTGCGCACGTCGTCGCGGGACTTGGTGGTCTACCTGGAGCAGGTCTGCGAGGAATTCGACATGATCCAAGGCGAGAATGAAAGTATGAACCATCATCAATATGTATCATGAAGGCTCATGTGGCTATAGAAGCGTTGCGCATCATGGAGAACTGGGCGGCGGTGTTCCAGACGGCCAAGGGAGTGGCGCGGATACAGCTTGCCCCCGATGGGTTGTCTGGCAGCTTCCGCCGCGATGCCACGTCTTCGTCCGCTTCCACCGACGGATGATGATGGCACGCATGTTCAAATTCGACACTTGAATCGTATATATATATATGTTATGCATGCTTGTGCTCATTCGCACAAGTCGACGTCATGAAAGCTCTCGTTTCCATTCGCTGCCATCGGCGCCACGGACGATGGCGACGACGGCAGCGCGCCATCCACCTCGACGAGGATAGTGTTGGCGCTGACCTTTCGAGTCCGCGCCATGTCGTTCTCGCTCGAGGGTTCCGTCGAGCGGACACATCCATCATCATCATTCTCGTCACCGTCGCCGCCGTGTTTCTTGAGCCATTCCGCCTTCCACGCACTAATGTCGCTCGACGATGGCGCGGAACAGCTTTCCTTGGACGAATGCTGGACCGACGACGTGTGGCCAACCTTGGACTTGCTTGCTTTGCGGTCCGAAGTAGTGGTTGTGACGGTCGAGATCGAGTCCTGGTCGTTAAAGGGAGGGTGATTCTTGGGTGTGTTCTTCTTCTTGGCCGCATGGGCCTTCTTATGGCATTGGCACCGCAACAGCCACAGGAACCGGTTGTTGGCGCCGTGCTTAAGGATGTAGTCATAAGTTCCCATGCGCAGCACCAACAGGTACACGTGAAACGACGTGAGGGCGCCGTAGGCAATGGCTAAGATGATGCAAACGGCGTTGTGGATCCAGAGGGCGGCTAGCGCCCCCCCCGACGTATTCCCGGTGGGCGAGTGTAGCGCTGCAATGTCAGCGTGCCACGTACTCGCCATGAGAATGCCCACCACGGCTTGGTATGACGTGAGAACCGTGCCTACGGCAGGGACGATTGGGGACTACTAGACAAGTACTAGTACTATAAAGGATGGTATACCAGACACAATGAGGATGAAAAATGGCTCGTAGTTGTTGTCGCCAATGCACGTGTTGAGCCTAAACTATATGGATAAGCTGCCGATGAATTGGTGTTCAAGTACAGTAGTAGTACTACTACTACGACATGTACATAGTACTACTACGAACCACGTGCAATGGTGGTCGAGGCCGGGACTGTTTTTATTGCACACGGTGCAATATCGCGTGGGCTTGGACGGCACAGGCACACACCACTTGGCGACAGCCTAGTCGATCTCTATGAATCAACAGAAGTAGATGGAACGATCATCGTTACGGTGGGGCTGGCTGGGTTGCGCACTTCACAGAGGAACCAGCACACGCCAAACACAGCCACGAACACGCCGTACGGAATCAGTACCCACAACGCCTAACACAAAGTCACTGGCTAAACAGATTGCAATATATAGGTATGACAAACCAGGAGGCCGGGAAGGTACGACGTGGTGAGAGCTACGAATGCCTAGGATGCCCATGTTGGTGGTGGAGTTGGATATGAGGTCAAACAAGTCGTACGGCAATGAGCACTGGCTGCAGCACCCAGCTCGTCACTTGGTCGCGGGAGAACGGGCGCTGGAAGCCCTGGATGCGCGTCACGCGTGTCATATTCAGACCACCACTGACTGCCCAGCATTCTCATATCTCCACTACAACAATGCTATATTTAGAATGACCATATCTCAATGGCCATTGGTTAGTTTCTATCCAATCCAATTGATCACACATTTTCACAAGCCAATCAATTACTCCGGAGTTTGTGTTTTCGGAGGTTTGGATTCGATAGAATACAATTATTTTGACCAATCCAATCGCTTTATACTTTTCATCAACTTCAAGTACAAAACGTGGCATCGTCTGTGGCGGTGCAGGCGAAACTTCCAAGTCCCAGTTAACGTTAGCATGGCCACTTGAGACCTTTGGTTCATATATTATGCCATCAAGTTCACATATACATCCGTCGCTTGGGTCGGTGGTTTCCTTTCAAAAGCGTAACTGTGGCATCGTTGGAAACTGACCGTTCAACCTCGGGAGTTGAGATTGCACAGCATGGGGATCCACGCCTTTGTGACGGGGCCACCGGGCAGCGGAAAGACGTCGCTGTGCAAGAAAGTGTGCGGGTTGCTACAACTAGAGCACCTGTCCACGGGAGACCTCCTCCGCGAACACATTCGACTTCGAACCGAGTACGGCAAAGTGGCCAAGAAGTGCATTGCCGCCAAGTCGCTCGTCCCGGACAGCGTCGTGATTGACATGATCGCGGACTGCATTGCCAAGCTAAAGGACTCGGAGGGCGGGTGGATCCTCGATGGTTTCCCTCGCACAGTCGACCAAGCCAAGGCGCTGCAAGTCAAAGGCGTGACTCCCAACGTTGTGCTGGTGCTAGAGGTACAATCTGCACTTGGCAACCCGAATCAACCATGAAATTCTGTCGTAGCTGCCCTCGTCCGAAGTTCGAGGCCGCCTTGTAGGGCGGCGGTTCGATCCTAAGACGGGAGACATCTACCACGCAGCCACGAATATGCCTCGGGACCTCGACGTGGCCGCCCGGCTGGTCCACGTACGATCGTTGTCGTGCTGCCACGTCATATCATTCGTTCGTTGTAGCGAGACGACGACACGCCCGAGAAAATTCCGTCGCGGGTCGACGCGTATGCGACGTACGGCCACGACACGAACCGAGAGTTCCTCGCGGTGGCCTTTCCCATCGACGCCGACGCGTCACTGGGGGACGTGGTGGGGGACGCCGTGCAGATTCTGCAGAGCCACAAGATGAAAAAGCCAGCCAGTTCCAACCAAAGCCACAACAGAGTTAATATCAACAACAACAACAACCAGCGGAACCAAGACATCGAGACCAAGCCCGCGGCGACATCGTTGGCTGAGGTTTCCGCCAAGAAGGTAGTACAAGACATGATAGCGATATATAGATATCCTGGTGCCAAGTGATGAATACATGATATGCACGATAGTTGGAGCCCGAAGAGACCGAGTTTAGTCCGCCCAAGTCGACGACGGCCTTTCGGCGGACGATTCCTAGCACCACGTTGGCGACTCCCACAGCCAACAAGATCGAGCACGAGATCCAACGCGTGGTTCTCCATGAAAACCAACCAACAACCCCCCCAAAAACCGCCATGGTTCGTACATGCGACAGGGTGTATGTTATGTACATACTATTCAAAGGCGATTTTTTGTAGGACGTGGTGACCAAGCAAGTGGACACGGAGAGGTTCAAGACGATGCTCATCTCTGGCTTTGACGTGATCAAGCATGGCCGCCGCGGAGCGCCGCACACGCGCACGGTACACACACAACGAACTTTGTTCTCAACACTTGACCACGTGGTCTGTACATAGCTATTTTGCGACGTCGAGCTGAAGCGCCTGTTCTGGCAAAAACCAGACAAGAAGGAGCTCAAGGCCAAGCTCGACCAAAGCATCGCCATCGCCGACGTGATCCAGGTCGTCCAAGGCATCAAGACCGACGTGTTCAAACGCTCGGGGGACACGGCCAAGACGGATCGGTACCTGTCGCTGATCGCAGACGACCGCACGTTGGACATTGAAGTCGCGTCAGACGAACTGTGCTCGCTACTGCTCCACGGACTGAATGCCATGTTAGTGTCGACTTAACCATCCTACGGACGTACTTACCTACCTACCCTGGGTTGCATAATAATCCTGTACTGTATCTCGTATTCTTGTCTACCCTCCACTTTGGCTTGAGTTTGCTTCAGTACTCCTTGGGTAGTTACTGTATATAACTTTACGGTGCCTAATGCAGAATCAAGTTGCGGAAGCTAGCTGGAGGCCACAGCCATGCATGTTAACCGAATCCCATGACTGGTCTGAACGTGATGCTACTACTACCGACAAGACTGGAAGCGACTAAACGATGTAGAACTCATTTCTTGAAGTTTGCAGCGTGGAAATCGCTGCCACTTCTACACACATAGAAGTTCCCTTACTTTGGCACGGAATTTTCAACAGTGATCAAAACAGGCTCGTCATACTTTTCAGCATGCTGGCCATCTGAACCTGCAGCTTATCGTGCACTAATCCAAGCTACCGACGATTTATTTCACTTGACTTCTCCGTGGCAAATTCGAAAATGACCTTTTAGTGAGGGCCAGTGATGAACGGACCAATCAGAAACGAATCCATTTATCCGGATGGGACATACACATGGGAAGAACCGAACCGATCCTAGTTTTATAAGTTATACCCAACTTTAGTTTCGGCTGAAATTTGGTTGAATAAGGACTTGAGGTTGAATAGAATTTGGGTGGCGCGATGGCTTTTCGAGGACGAGGACGCGGCCGTGGCGGCGGCGGCGGTGGCTTTGGCTCCCGCGGGATCAGCGTGGCAGACATCGTTGGCAGCACCATGGACGAATTGGGCATGTCACATACCCAATTGGTCAATCTATCGGTATGACAGATGCGCCGCATCATGTTGGCAGTCGACTGAATGGAGTGTTTGTTGTGCAGGGAGAAGGCAACGCGCTCTTTCCACCTGTGAAGCTGCCGGCGCCTGTGAAGCTCTCCGACTCAGACATGTACCTGGTGCACAAGATGCGTGTGGTCTCCGATCGCATGAACCACCTTTATCCTGTCGCGAAAACCGCCGACTCGGACTTGGAGGTCGTACATGTCACCGTCCCAGAGGTATTCTTCTCATTCCATTCTCGTTCCAAACCATGCTCAAGCGGCTGCGCGTTCCTTAGGTGTCGTTGGACGACCCGCATATGTGCTACGTGCCGAAAGAGATCAACGAGAACATCCGACATGACGGCGGTAGAAGTGTCGGCGGTGGCGCCGTCACCCCCATCCTTCGACCGCGCGCGTTCGAACACACGCTCAAGTCGTTGGAGCAGCGCGAACAAAAGTCGAAAGGCGGCGTCGACGATGCTGTCGTTGCCGCCGCCGACGACCTCGACATGGACGACGACGACATGGTACGTCCATCCTCCACTCCCGTCTTGCCGCGTCATCATGTTGGTTGCAGGAAGACGACGAAGATGTGGATTATGGCGTCGACCATTATGCGAGTGAAAACGACGAAGACAATTATGACGAAGAAGCTTTTTAAAACACTGAAAGTTTGTATGCACACATGGGATTTTTTTGGAAAACGAAATCACCCCCCTTTTTCCCGAGTTCAGACCCGACTGCAACGCCATCCCCATATTTACTTAGACCACGCGCTCGCCAGGGAGGAGCGCTTGGCTGCCGCCGCCCTTGTTCGGATCGTCGTCCTCGTCCTCTTCTTCTTCCTTGGGGTCCTTGTCCAATGGCCCGCCGCCGTTGATGTGGTCGTATAAGACTGCTGGCGCCAGGTTCATGAGCTTGGGGCGGGAAATGACATCCCCAGGACGCGGCCGAGTTCGCGGACGTCCACGGGGCTTGCCAGATGTACTTCGCACCTTTTTCTTCAGGTCATCAACCAAGACTAGAACGCACCTTGGTCATGGAATAAGAGTACGTGGACGAAGACGCAATACCTTCCCTGGACACGTTGGCTGTGCTTGAGTGGTCTTCCACAGATCCTGCCTTCATGACGGAAGCGGTGGCGCTGCCGTCGTGGTCTTTCCCGTTCTTGACTTGTGGAGCAACCATGATCGGGTTCATAGGGAACTTGAATCCCATTGGCATCAACGGCATACCGAATGGCCACATGGGCATGGATAGGGGTTGATCGGCGGAGTTGATCGAAGGCGTCGACTGCTGGGCCAGCGACTTCTTGGACGGCCGACCGCGCTTCTTTTTCTTCGGGATTTCGTCGACCAGTCCAACCCCAGACCCTTGGGGGAAAGGCAGCATCATGGGCATCATCATCGTCATGGGAAACATCATTGCCGTCATAGGTATGACCGGTGCAGTCGCCGCAGTATCTTTCTTTGGGAGCTCCTTCTTGTCCGCAGCGACAGCGTCATCAGCCTTGTCGGTTGGCTTCTTGTCATTGTCCTCCTCGAGATGATGGGTTGCGGAAGCGATTTCTGATTGCTCATCATCCTCTCCATGGCTTTCCTCATCTCCACTTGCGGTAGTTCCATCGTCTTCTAGCTTGGGAAGCTTGCGCTTCTTGCGCGGCACCAGGTCGTCGTGCTGCTGCTGCTTCATCGTGTTTGGAAATTTGAATTTGGATATGCTGCTGGAATTTTAACCAACCTTCGCGAAGCGTGACTACATACAAAGTTCAAGATCAAATCGCCCCCCGCGGTCCCCGACCCCTTCTTCTTTCGATCATTTCAGCCAATCACAGGCCGAAGGAATCCATTGCAACTGGCTATGTCTTCCTTTTCAGCCAATCACAAGCCGAGAATCATTACCACCCCTGGCGACACTCCTTCATAAAAGAACCGAATTTCTCCGATTTAGATTATGCCCAATCAGCACTGCGTATCAACCCACACTCCCAGTTGACCAAACCATAAGCGATACAGTATCCACGACCTACTATAGTATAATTAATGCATGCACACACTTGCCAATATCATTGAAAGTATTTTCATATTGTCTTGTGAAAACGTGATGAAAGGGGGTAGTTAGTGCTTTACGAAGGCAAACCATTGAAAACATCCATGGCTGAGTTGATTTATTTATTACCTTGTGATTTGTAATGACGTACTACCTTTTCTATTGTTCACAACTCTGTGTACTACCTTCGAAGTATTATATACTTGATATATATATATATCCTCCAGCAAATGATATCAATCGAACTTCGAACTTGTCCATATGGGTTCCTTCTGGCGTTCACACTGCTGCATCATGTGCCTCTTTCCAGCGAGTGCTTCTCCATAAGAAAGCCACCTGTATACATTGCAGCTAGAACCCCCCCCCCCCACTGCATACCATAACTCTTCATCCTGTCGGCCTTTCAACGGACGTCTTCGGAAGCTTTGGCGATTTTCATCACCGAATCAAATGGCCGTAAATTCGAAATTCGAAGCAAAACACAAATAATTTTGCAGCGCCAGGATCCATTTTCCGATTGCTTGACGACATGCGAGTTCCATTCGCCGTCGTCGTGTGCGTTGTCGGCGCTTTCTGCAGCGTCGTCTTGTGGTACTCTGTGACGATGATCCCTGCCGACGAATCCATCCTCAGTGCGTACTTCGCCCACCTTCATCCTCCACGCCACTAACACATTGCGATGTAGGCACCGATTTCCGCGACGGCATGAATGTGATCGCAGACGAACGCGCTATGTTGCGACAGGTCGTGGAGCGGCCGTACGATGCGCAAAACCCCACGGGATTTCCATTGTCTTCAACGACTACCAGTCGCCCTGCCACCACCACGAACACACCGACCACGTCGATGGAGGTTGCGAACGCCACCATCTCTACATCGTAGTATCAACAGTTTTAAATTATTATTGCTATGTGTTGTACGCGCTACGGTCACATCCCATCGTGATCACGACAAACGCTCGCGATCATTTGGCAGACTGTCCCTTTCGCTGGTAAAACAAAATGTACGCGCTGGCGCTCGCCGCGTTTGGTTTCTTGAGCGCGGACACGGTCTCGTCGTTGAAGTCGTACCAGTTGCCGTTTTCGGGGTTGCGGCATTCGCTAAAGTATCCCCAAACACATCAATCGTCACGTTCCCCGCGAGTCCAGGTGGTACTTACGCCGTGTAATGCCCGCCATTCAACGTTCCCGTGTGGTGGATCATGCCGACGAGGTCGTACTCCCAGCACTTGTCGTAGTCTACTCACGCCGCATCGCTTGAATCCCACCATGGTATTGTCGATATATTCGAAATTGGAGTGGGGTTCTCAATCATCGAAACAGGCAGGCAATCGATCGACCAATCAAAACCCAGAACATGAATTCAGTGGCCAATCAAAATCCACTCTTCGACGAAATATCCACATCGAATTAGTAATTAGTGTGACACTGGAATCTCTTTACATACAAAAGTCAAAGAATCGATCGATAGATTTGGCGAATAATCAAAAGTCCAAATGTTAGGTAATAGAATGACAATAATATACAATAGAGTGTAGTTACAGATGTTGTCTTTGCTGCAGAATTCTTTGATTTCGAGCCCTTCGGTGGGGAATTTCACCGCCGTGGACACTTTGTCGCGGCTGAACGTCGAGTACGAGAACCGTTTTAGGTGCAGCACGAGCACATTCGGGCACCTACATACAGTACAAATATAGCATTGATTGGTCGTACATATCAATAGCACGAGAGAGATAGGAAATACTGTAGTAGTAGTAGTAGTAGTACCGCTGCAGGCAAATGGACTTGACCACAGACCGATGGGCTTTGCATTTGGCGCAGTAGAACGCGTCCTCGTCCTTCATGTGCTCTTCCTCCGTATAAGCCCGTAGACAGTCGTGCACTGTGCACATGGACGTGTCTTCGTTGGAAGACGTGGACTTGAACGCGCCAAAGCGGATCGCGCCGCCTTTGGCTTTTTTCGGCACGGGTAACTTTCAACATGACGTTCTCGTGAGGACACATACAGTAAGTATATGTGACGTGGTTGATTGTCCATTCAAAACAAATATATAGCGTTGCATCGACTGGGATTCGATAATGACCAAACCCAGAACTGTATTCAAGTGGCCAATCATATTCTCCACCCGATTATTTTGGTTTTTCCATCTCGAATCGACACAACCAAATGTACAGAAGAATGATTTAGCCAAATCTAATTATAGGAAATATCATCAACGTCAAATTAGTGTGTGACTTCAATTAGTGTGATACCAATCCCCACAGGACACTTTTTTACATACCAAACTCAGTAACTACAAAGAATCGATCGATGGCTTTGGCGAATTAGCTCAAAAGTCCAAACATGGGGTACAAGATACTAGACAATACTAGTAGGAACTAGTGGAGTATCGCGTACCGACAAGTCCCAAAATACGTCGAAACATATGGACCGATGGCTGCATGTTTGACAGGTAACTTCGGATCGCAGCTGGCCGCAAAACTGCTCGGACAAGGCACTTGCGTTGCGCTGGATGTAGTACTGCCAGTACTCGTCCGACAGGTCGCGCTCGGGGGCATGCGGACGATCTGATTCGCAGAATCAGACAGATCAGACTCAGAATCAGACTCCTCAACCTGGGATTTCATAGTAGGCGGGTTTTTTCAGAATCCGGTTCAAGTCTTCGTGCAACCCGTCGAGGAGAAACCGGAGAAACTCTTGGGCGTCGTGCTGGTCGTACCCAATAAACCGCGACGCGAGCTTCCCCACCACGCGCTTGAGCTCGACGGGGCGCGTCGACGAAAACTCTGCCCCGCTCCACAACGCTTGGGATAAATCCCCAAACACGCTGCTCGTAGAACGTCAAAACAAGTGGGAGATTTCCCCACAAAGATTGATCGATCGATCGTACCAGGCGAGCTTGCCCGCGGTGGGACTCGATCCGTTCAACTCGTGCAAATGGGCGTTGCTGCGAAAGTACTTCATCACGCTGTGCACGTTGTTCAGGCACTGCAAGCAACTGTTCATGAAGCTATAGTATGTAGTATGCGTGAATACATGTGCGATTTATATATATATATATACCCCCGACCGAACCATTGTTAGGACCATAACATCGAGTTGTATGTATATATATGTACCATGTATTGCCCAGATTTTGCAGCCCCACAGCGCCTTTGCACGACAACGAGGACCCTCCCGCGACGACAATGCTTGGCTGCAACGACGAGTTTGAGAACGAGCGGGTGCCGATGGTGATACTCTCGAGCTTGTCACTTGGCATGGTATCCCGTCGCGGCTCTTTGTTGCTACTGCTTTGGACCCCGGGGTACGTCACAGTGTTGGTGGGGGGAAGCAGCACCTTGGCGTTGCCGTCGTCGTCGTAGTTCATAGAGGCGTCATTGGTCTCGTCGGCTGGCCGCTTGGAATCCGTAGATGACGTGGCATTCGGTTGGTTGCCCAAGGGGTACACCGTCGCGCGAGGAGACTCCCGCACAGTTGCCCGCGACGATGGACCTCGAGCCAGAAGCCTCGAGTGGAGACGGGATGACGAGGATGTCGCAGTGGACGTGTCGATGTGGTCGGATGGCGAGGGTGGTTGCTTCCGACGTGAGCCCGTGCGATTGGACACTATCGGTGGTTTCTTTTGTCAGGGACTGGTATAGATCAGTCAGTCGGCTACGTACCCATGCGCTCCATCTTCTGGAGCATGTCTTCGTCAGAGACGGAGGTAGGTCCCGCCACGTCCAAGTTGTTGTTGGGGTACCCCGACGCCGTCGACGTCCCGTTCACTAGTTGAGGTTGAAGTTGTTGCTGTGGTGCTGCAGAAACGGTCGCGCTCTGCCACGATGAATTGGCCAGGCTCAGTGCAGCAGTCTTGGCCATATAGATGCACTTGATCGTGGTGCCAGCACACCAGGTTTGCAAATGACCGCCAGCGTCCTTCGTTCGTTGGGGAGTCTGTGATTGGTCAGTTGTTTTTGGAATCTCGACGTTGATTGGACAGTTTGTCAACGCCGAGATCCAACACCGTGATTGGCTCGGTTTGTATCTTGGAGAGGCACATAAGATTAATTGTGTATAATACAACATTCGAGAGTAGTTAACTGTAAAAACTAGTACTATTTCGTAGAGTACAAGATTATCATGATTGTGCGTCCTCAAAGATATCGTCGGCGTCGACGGCGCGGGCCTGCCTCAGTCCTCCTTCTTCTTCGCCATCTTCGTCGTCGCCTTCTGCTTCTTCAGCATGGGACGTCGTGACACTCATCGCGGCGATCGTCAGCGCTTCCTTCAACGTATCCACTTCGTCCTTGTACTCCTGGAGCGCCAAACTCAGAGTCGTTTTGGCCTGGTACTCTTTCTCGAGTGCATCTTCGAGTCGTTGGAGTTTTAGCGCCGCCGCGTCCACCGCCTGCCCAGAACAAAAAACGCAGTGGGAATGGAGACAATGATAAAACATGGGGTACCTGCTTCTCGATCTCCAACAGGTTGGCGGTGGCCGCATGCTGGGACCGCTCGTCGTTTAGGAACGTGTTGACGAGGCGAAAGATGCGCCACAGGCGAAACACGCCGAGAAGTCGCAGCCCTGGCACATCTCTGTATAAGACATAACATTGAGCCATGCATTGTCGATGTACCCTTGGATTGCCGCGACAGTTCCCATGAAAACGACGAGACAACAACCCCAAAGTCGATGCCGTAGCCGATGTGGGTGAAAAATGCGAGCTGGAAGACCCAAATGAGCACCGCAAGCTCAATCATGAACAAAATCAACGTAAAGCCACCGAAGGATTGCAACAATTGGCCTAGGATTGGCGGCACAACCACGCCAGTCTGCGCAAGGAGGTCTAGGACGAGACTGGCCACAGCTGCTGCCACGTCCAACACCACCAGTGCAATCATCACCGCCTGCGTTTCTCTCCATTCGATGAAGGCACCGATGGCTTGTGACTTGGAGCGGCCCACTGGGACGTACTGGGAAGCGTCGTCACCCGCTGCTGCCTTCTTCGGCTCATGCATGTGGATCTTGAAAGGGTCGGCTCCTGTCATTGGTCGGAATTGGATCCAACCTCTGATAAATAATGCACAGTGGAACTTTGTATTTAAATAACCTGTATATTTGGATTATCGAAGAATACAGACCAAGTAAAGGCAGTCGCGGTATACTGAAACCAAGTGAAATCTTGCCTGAAGCAATCCATGGAATGAACTTTGCATTTGACCATGGCGCGGGAGGACAGCAACGTGCCGGTACTGGAGGCGGCACGTGAAGACGACCCAACAAACAACCGCGGCAACTTCACACGGAACCTGAACAAGGAAGAGGACAGTTCCGTGGCGAAGAAGATGTTCTTTGGCGGCCTCGCGCTCCTCCCTTGGCTCTGGGCCGTGAACGTGTTCCACTACAGAGCGCAGTTCCTCGACGGCACCATCGACCCAAAGACTACTATCTGTGCGTCCGTTTTCGAGTACTTGTGTGCATTTGGATTCATGATGTTCTTCATAGGGGTGCGTCGGTCGTTTGCCGGCTTCGTCTTCGTCACGCTCATCTTTGTGGCTTGGGTTGTGACGTTTCAACTGTCGTGGAAGGCGAACGGGTGGCAGAAGCTGCTGCTCGTCGTGCCCCCAGAAGATCTCGACCAGGGATGGTAGATCCTATTCAATCAAGTGCCGCCATCACAGCGACATGACATGCATAAGCATCCAATTTATTGTCGGTATTATCTCTCTCTCATCCATCAAGTGCAGCAGAAATCCATGAGATGCCTTCCGAATAAAACTCATAAACACGTAAAAGAGCTAAAACGCCCCGCGTTTTATAATCAAATCCAGTATTACCTACACCGAAATACGTTTAAACAATTACCCTGTAAACCTCACGGCAAAACAACCACGCCATGGCCGGTACGCGGCTGCATGTCCTCCTGAGCTTGCTGATCCCGATCCTACTCATTGCGCCGTACGCCTACCACCTCCTGCTTGTGCCTCGATCGCCGCTTCCTTTCGATGACATCCAAGCTATAGACATCCATGCATCCACGGAAGCTCTGCGGTCTCACGTCGTCAACTCCGAGACCATCACCTTCCTGCAGGTCCATGCCACCCCCCCTTCTTTCCCCGTGCTTCCTCGTACCTCAAGAGTCTCGTCGTTGGAGTACCCTTCGCTTTCGCCATCCATTCCTGCTCTCCACGACTCGCCACATGCGCAAGACCGTGCATTGAAGTCGTGGCTCCACGCAGCCAACTTGACCGATCGCGCCGTCATTGTTCTGCTCTGTCAAGACAGCAAGCAGGATGCTGACTCGTCCGTGACAATGGGAGTACATCGACACGGGTGGTCCACGGGCTGCTACCTGTCCATCGACCAGCAGCGCCTTCTCGTCGACACACTGTTCCCACCTCCGTCCTCGGCCAACACGTCGACAAAGCTGGCGCTCAAGTATCGTTTCAGCTTTACTGTCTTGAACGAGAAGCCCCATGAAGAGTCCGCGCTTGCAGACGCATGGAACACTGCGCTGTCCTCGGCGTTGGCGCCGTTGTTCGAACCGTTTGCCGACGCCGTCGCGTCGACGCTGGCCGCCGTGACCATCGACACCCAGCGCGTCGAGTTTGGCAAGCTGGCCCAGGTTGGTTAAACGGCAAGTTACCTCTGTTAATGTTTGGGGAGTGGTAGGTTTACCGCGTGGACCCAACAACCCACGCCACGTATGTGACCACGGCCGACCTCCAACACGTACGTTAAACTACTGCCATTAACTAACTAAAAATAGTTTTAACTAACTAAAAATTGTTTTAACTAACTAACAATAGTTTAAATCGGCCAATGATTTTGCCACTACGTCCGTGTTGGCAGACCGCGAACATGTGGTTCATTTCGTGGTGCGTGAAACTACACGTCCACACAAACAGACTTGGTTAACAACTGACACCTTCCCCCATAGGCGGCCATCCCCGCTGCCGCGTCGTTCCATATTCGATCGTCGCATTCAGCGGATCCTACGCCGGAATATGCATTTGTCATCCCTGGGTATGGCAGCGTGGCGATTCTGCATACTCCCGACGACGTGCCGCGCATCATGAGAACCTTTCTCTTCCACGCGCGGCATCTCCTCGGCCTCGGCGCGTTTCCATCTTCGGCAACCCACTCGATCACATTCCTTCCGTCATCTTCTGGGGTTGCAGACTGGGAACTCGACATCCTCGTCAATCGTTATCTCCTCCGGTACGTGTACTACTTACTTGAACCACCTGTGTACTTTAACGAGTAACGGATCTACTCTTAACGAGTAACTAACGGATCTCTTAACGAGTAACTAACGAATTTCTTAACGAGTAACTAACGAATTTCTTAACGAGTAACTAACAAACCTCTTAACGAGTAACTAACGAATCTCTTATCGAGTAACTAACAAATCTCTTAACGAGTAACTAACGAACCTCACCTCTTAACGAGTAACTAACGAACCTCACCTCTTAACGAGTAACTAACGAATCTCTTAACGAGTAACGAATCTCTTAACGAGTAACGAATCTCTTAACGAGTAACGAATCTCTTAACGAGTAACTAACGAATCTGTTAGCGAGTAACGAATCTCTTAACGAGTAACTAACGAATCTGTTAGCGAGTAACGAATCTCTTAACGAGTAACGAATCTGTTAACGAGTAACAAGTCTCTTAACGAGTAATGCATCTCGTGTGTAGGCACTACCATACAACGGTGCGGACGTTGCAGTCGCTTGCGTCGTTAGTTGCGTCCATGCCCCAGATGGCCGTCCTGCCGCGCACGTCGGCATTAGTCGAGAGTTCCTTAGCTGCCCTCCATGACGTGGCAACTTCCGTGCCCAAGGCCCAAACATTTCGCACCAAGTTGGTCGCAGTTCGACACGCGTTGCTTGCGGTGGAAGAGGCGTACTACGACCCGACCATGGTGTCCCAGCTGTACTTTCCCGAAGATCAGATTTACTTTGTCTTTTGCCCGTTGCTGCTGCCGTTGCTCGTGCCACTACTCGGAGGCGTCGTGCGCGAAGTCAAGCGCATGCGAAAACCAGTTCGAGTTGTCGATTAACTAAATGTGGTGTCGATTAACTAAATGTGGTGTCGATTAACTAAATGCGTTGTCGATTAACTAACCGTGTACGTATCGATTAACTACAATAGAGGTGTCGATTAACTTTTGGTGTGTGGTCGATTAACTAACCGTAACTATGTCCTCGATCATGTCAACAGAAGGAACCATGTGGTCGATTAACTAAACACATATCGATTAACTAACGTTAGGTCCCTGTTTTGTAATTTGGCTTAACTAGTTAACATGTATTATTAACCGTGATAGAATACTAACTGTAAAACACATCATGTATTGACCCTTAACCACCGAATCCCACGGAGACCGTTGCCAGCGGCTACATTCGTCTCAATGCCGTTGATGATGTAGCCGTTGGCTACGGATGGACTTAGGGTGGTACCGAGGGATGGAGGTACCTACCTGCTGTGGCCTCGCCCTTGTTGTGAACGACGACAGTGGGGGCTTTGTTCGGGTCGTAGTCGGACTGCATGAGCAACGACGAGTCCCGAAGGAGGAGGTCGTCTGTGCGTCCGTGGCTCGTGTAACATCGTGGCGGCGGTCCCTGGTTCTCTCGATCTTCGTCTCGTCGCCTGTCGCGGATAAGTGGATGGATTCAGGGTGTCATGACCAACATGTACCTCAATTCGGAGGCAGGGATGTGTTCTTCGACCTTGTGGTCTTCGTCGTACTCGACGTCGTATGTGTCATCGCCATGGTCCACAAGGATCCGTGCAGGGAACCAAAGGCCGTCAATGTCTCGATCTATGTCCATGTCCACGCAGAAGGACACGTCATGACCTCCACGCTTGCCGTCACCTCCCGCCGCCGCGTCTGTGGCACTGTCCTTCATCGCAACAACCGCCTTCAGGACGGTTGAGGATAAATGCAGAGCCAATGGGATGTCGTGATGGTAGAACCTTCCATAATTAATACTTTTTCCGATGTACTGTACTTATCGGTCAGCTTACCAGCCACGCTGCAGCTAAGAAGTAGCTAACGGCATCGCTGTCGCCCCCTTCTCCACTACCTAGAGAGCTCTACCGAAGCGTACAACGTGACTTCCCATGCCCATTCGAAATCCATTTAGTTACAGAAATGGAAAAGTAAATTCATTTATAGAGGTTTTTGTTTCAAATTGGCGCTGCTTTCACAGCCGCCGCACCGCCATCATGATCTCGCTGTTCTGGGGCTTATGGCAGTACCTGTTCTCCAAGGCGGAAGTCCATCTGCTGATCATCGGCTTGGATTATGCCGGCAAGACTGTACGTCCGTCATGCACGTCAGGACCTTAACGCATGGTGCATGTAGACACTCCTGGAACAGCTCAAGACCATGTTTGGCAAAAAGGCAGGCATCCCACTCGACAAGATCCCACCCACCGTCGGCCTCAACAGTACGTATAACGTCACATGCATCATGTCTCATGCAGAGTCGGCAGTCGCCAAGGTCGACATCTCGCGCACGAACGTCATCTTTTGGGACTTGGGGGGACAGGTACGCATGCCCTATTCTCGTCCTTCCTAACGACGATCACAGGAACGATTGCGTGCAATATGGAGCAAATACTATAGCGAAAGCCACGGCGTAGTGTTTGTCGTCGACTCGTCGGATCCTGCCCGCTTCGACGAAGCCCGCGCTGCCCTCGGTATCATGTCGTCCTTTATATGGACGTTCTTGACGTTTCCTCTGTTCTCCAGCGTCCATGCTCGCACACCCAGAGCTGTCGGACGTGCCCCTGCTAGTCCTCGCCAACAAGAGTGACCTGGACACCGCCCAAACATCCGCGGAGCTCACCGCACGGCTGGAGCTCGACCGGCTCGCGGAATCGCATCAGTGGACCCAGCGACCCATCTCTGCCCTCACCACGTACACCATTTCTGAATTCCGACACCATATACCGCATGTCTTATCTCCATCGTAGAAGCGGCATAGCCGACGCCGTCACGTGGTTCGTGTCCGCCGTCAAACAAACCGACCGCTTTCAAGCAAAACAGCAGCAAGCGACCAATTCGCGTGTATAATAAAACAATAGGGACCGCATGTGATTACTCGTTTCCGATATGGAATTTTTACACAATTCCTACAACACCGTATGCAATTATTCGTTTGCGATATGGGAAATTCAGCACAAATCACCCCAAACGTTGCGCCACCACCCACACTTGATAACTCGTTAGTGATAGGCAAGTAGTAAAGTCAGTTCATATAACATGTACACAGTATACATATATCCCCATGTTTGAACATCTCCGTCGTCGCTTTGTTCAACGACCAATAAAGCAGCGATACTACCATAGTTGATTACTCGTTACCGATATGGAGCACACTCACAGTATATATATAGCGTATTTCTACGTCGTTGTCCATGGCGCCAACGTGACTTCGTCGTACACGTTGCCGTTATCGTTTCGGACAAATGCCACATGTAACTTGTCCTTGGAGACTTCGGCGCGAAGGTACCCCCATGCATTTACATGCGCGACGCTCCACTTCCCCAGCGACGGAGAAAAGCCAGATGTTTCCAGCTCGGCACCCGCCGACCCCGCTACGATGTGCACTGTACCGTCGTCCACACACATCCCATTGAATACGGGGCAGCTGCGCTCGTACGAGTGCTGATGGCCCACCTGCAATGGACCCGTGATGTATTACTCGTAACGGATAGGGGAAAATCGTCGTCGCCAGACTTCCCCATACCGTACAATGTATATCGTAGGTTATAGTTTACCAGCACGAGATTCACGCGGAACTGGCGCAACAAGGGCTCGATGGCCGCTCGAAAATGCAACGACACGGTGAAGTCTGCGTCTTCGTTGGCCTGCGTCGTGTACTACATATGGACCCGTTATACGTATATCCATATGGACAGATAGATCTGCACACACCATCATGCGGTGCGCCGTGAGCACGACCCATGGCGTACTCTGTCGATCGACGCTGGCCAAATCTTTTTTTAGCCAATCATATTGCTTCGATCCAGGCTCAAAGTCGTGCTCAGAGGACATTTGAACCACGTGAATTGGGCCAACCGCAAACGAGTACCAAAATAGGGTGTTGCCGTTGGACGGCCCTGGTGTGCTGCCACGTCATATCTGTCAAATACACTTGAAGAATGTATACCAGTGAACCGATGGACTGTCGGGACGCCGCATTCGCCGAGCGAGTCGACGCCGTAGTTGCCCCATATTGGGTGGAAGCCATTGGGGGTGTCGGGGTGCGATGGGTCGCGGCCCGGGTCGCCGCCAATGTAGTCGTATTCGTCTAAACCCCCAATATTTCATGAAATATTTGGTTGAAAATTGAGCTTTTTTTGCACTTACGATTGCCCATGCTCACCATGTACGGCCTGATATTAGTGACATATGGTTCATTCATTAGTGACATTTGGATCATAGTAACCACATAATTACACGCGAGTGGCGACGTCTTGAATGAGGTAAAAGTACTTGTCCCACTGGAGGCCGCGCCCTCGGGCGTAGCTACGACGCAACGGCGATAACGTCATTATACTTGTGTTGTCATAGTGACATGTCACTATCGCGAAACTCTACCTAATGTCGCCAAAGTGAAGCAGGAAGCTGTTGTAGCCGCGGAGGATGTCCTGGGACACATGGAGTGCGGTGGACGCGGCGGCGGGCGAGCTGTCGACGCCCATGTCCCCGTAGGCAATCCATTTGACAGTGGCATCCGGTCTATCCAACCCAGCGATGACGTGATCAGTGTGGGATGATGTAATCATGACGTAATCAATGATATGGTACGCACGCAACATGGGCCGGGGGTCGGCTTTGAAACGAGTACGTGGCACTCCAGCCGTCGATGTCATTGCCAAACTGGTACGAGTACGTGGCGTTCAGGTCTAGCGAGTCCATCACGACAGTGTGCATGTAGCCAGGATGGCGGAACCACTGCTGGCCTACAATCGTTGCTGGCATATGGCACCTAATGCAAGGATATGATAACGTGCATATGATGGAGGTGGAAGGGGTACGTACATGTCAGACGCTGAGTACGTCGAGGACGTGCCAGATCGGACAAACACGTTCGTGGAACCAGAAGGATCGCGGCGGCTGTACTTGACTGACGGAATCGTTCTATTCGACGCGGAATTGTACATGATGACCATTTGATCGATATGGTCGTTGAAGGCAAGATGGCCGTGCTGGGGGGAGTCGATGGACATGCGCATGGGAACGTTTACTTGGCCGAGAAGGACGAAGGATGCGTTGAGAAAGTGGTAGTACGACACCACGTACACGCATCGCAGCATGTGCAGATCTTCAAAGCGCACGGAAGACGAAGATGTAGTCACAATGATGCGTTCAATGTAGTCGTCCTTGTCTACAGTTGGGCCGCACGACAAAGTGAGGTAGTCGGCAGGATGGGAATGGACATTCGTCCACGAAACGACGAGGTCTTGGCCCAAGTCGAGGGATTCCGGAGACGCAAACATCTTAAAGCAGAGGGATGACACATTAGGCTGCCATGGAACTTCACGTCCAAGAATGCCCATTGCCACGAAGGATGCCAGGACGAGGACGAAGCGCATGATTGCCTCGATTGTCTTTGAAGGAATCTTGAATTGTGTATGCAAATACAATTGGCTTAAATTGGTTGCTTTTTACAAATGCTTGGTGTATGATTGGATATATTCTAGGTATTCAACCAATCCAAGGGCAGGGATCAAGAGTGCTGGTCATTGCGAAACCGTCAAAACGTCATGTGAAGAAATGTTCATCTCGTGCAGACTGCACTAGCTCGCGGACCTTGTGCGCCTTGGTGCTGCTTCGTCTAGGTGGCGTTGGGGAGTACGCGCTCCGAACATCCAGTGGATCGATGCTAATGCTACACAACGAGATGTCAATGTAAGGCCAGCAAGTACGTGCAACCTTTTTCGACGCTGCTGGGCCGCTACCATTTCTTCTGCTTTTGTTATTCGCTCCTGCACGTGGTCATACTTATCCTGCATGGGCGCTTCGTGGTCAGTATTCAGCATCGATTGATATACTCTCACAGCAACCTTGTCAAGGCACACTTGCTCCAACGTTCGCCGAAATTCCTGCAAGTCTTTCAGAGGTGGCACGAGCACGTTCACCTTCTTCGTGTCTTCTTCAATCAAATCCTGCTCCATGTCCACACATCCCTACAATGCGCCCCCAATCAGCTTCTTGCCATGGCCCTTCTACACACCTGAATGAACTCGATGTCGTCTAGAAGTTGCTGCTTCTCGTCCAGCAACGCCTCCCGCAACCTCGCTTTCATTGAATCGATTTGGCGAATGCTCACGCATCCCTACGCGAATGAATACGTCAACCTTCCGCCATATTTGTTCGTTCCATCTTATCCATACCAAGTCCTCGAGCATGGCCGGCGCCGACGCCGTGGACGACACGGAGCCCCGCGACGACAGCCCTCGGGACGACGGCGGTCGAGATGATGTGCCCGACCGACGACGACTGCCATCCGCCGTACCGGGTCTCAGAATCACCCCATTCCCGTTAAAAGAACTAAAACTCGCACAGTCCTTCAATCGAGGGGTGAGGTTGCCGCCGTTGTTTTGGACATCCGAGTCGGGTGTCGCCGACAGGACGTAGCCCAATAGCGCTCGATCTTGGGGGGTCGCTAGCTGCCGCTCGTGTAAATTGGACGCCAATAGTTTGAGCTGGTCCAAGAGGAGCATCCGACTCGGGGGTTCTGGTAGCGCCGGGCGGCTTAAGACGGCGTCCTAACCCCACCTTCTCTGTCATGCACACAATATGTAGCGAGGAGGTACCCTGATGCGATCGTTCTCCTTCTGGTAGTCGTCCAGAATGTCCACAAAAGCCTTGAGCTCGGCGTGTAGTGCCTACACAGCTCAGTCGATACCATGACGTGGCACACTTGCACAACCCACCTCGTTGTCGTCGATCAAGTGATGCCCTAGCACTTGATGCAGTTCGTGAATCTCGGCCTGGTTCACGCGTCGACGGAGGTCGTCCCATAGAAGCGGGCGCATGTAAAACACCACGGGCGTGTGCATGTTGACGACAAGTGGCGCTATTTCCAGCGTCAATTGGTTATACTAGTTGACAGTTACACACAGTTACAACGTTATGAACTACTACTACGAGTACTTTGAACACGAGCCCAATAGTGTGCTTTACGAAGAAGACGACGATAGGCCATCGCTGTCCACAACAAGGGGCCGCGTTGCCGCGTCACTTGATGTCGTGTCCAGTTTGCTTTTCTTCCTTGAAATTGTTGCCGACAGTATTGCACCTGCCGGATGCATCACAACCCCCTTGTCTTCGTCGTCGTCATCGTCGCGGTGGTTTCGCATTGGCTTGCAACGCCCGCCAAACAGAGGCTTCATGTACGTGTCGTCGAAGGCGTGCCACATTTGGTACGTAGCAACACGGATGGTGGCGCAAGTTCGCGTACCATCGGTCGTCGATTCGTCCAACGAACTCATGCGACGACCTACCGGCGTGACGTTCTGATCTGGCTCGGGTCTTGAAGGCGTTGCTGATGGTGATGATGACGGTATGTCCAGTGGGTCGTCGTCCGATGCCGTTGGAACGATGACGTTATCGATTGACCGAGAATGCTCCAATAAACCGCACACGTTTAAAAGTGGACCGGTGAGGCCACCCACGACCCACGTGGTGCCAATCACGAGGAACAACGTCGTCGTCACCATGAGTTGCTTGTGGTCGATGATCACGTCATCTTGATGTTGGACGTACGACCAGTCGGTCACCAGCGCGACGGCAACCGCCCCTCGGAGCCCCGTGAGCCACATCACGACCATCATGGGCACTGTCAACGTGTCTTGGTTGCACCGCAAGTAGTTGGTCACGGACAGCAGCGGAAACACATTCAACGCCCGACCAACGAACAAGCTCAGCGTCGTCCACCCAAGAAACGACCAGCTGATCCCGCCTCCTTCGCTGTCACTTGGATGATGGTGATTGGACAAGGGCAACGATGTCACAGTGTTGCTGCACAACACGAGGGCGGTGGCCACTCCCACAAACACATACACGAGCGTTTCGGATACAAACGATGCGGTTTCGAGGGTATGGTGCACCACCAGCTGCGACACGGGCGACATGACGTGGTAGTGGTAGTGACTGGTCAGAATGCCACTAAAGAACAGCGCTACGATGCCCGAGAACGCGCAGCACTCGGCTGCAAAGTACGTTGTCCAGCTCACGCACACGCAGAGGAGGATCTCGTAGGCTGGGTACGCTCGCAGCGCTGGAATGTGCACAAAGATGGCGGACCCCAACAGCGTGACGAGCATCGAGACACAGATGGACCCTACGAGGATGCCGAATGTCTGGCATACCACGAGGGCGAGCACCGGGAATGTCATGCCAGAGGTCGTTAGAGACAGCGCCTTGTACAACGCGATGGCCACGGCGTCGTTGAGCACGCTTTCACCGAACACGACGTTGAACAGCACGGGCGGCACGTTCAGCTTTTGAAACACGGCGAGGGTCGCCACGGGGTCGACAGCGCTCAGGAGCGCGCCAAACAGGAACGCTTCGACCCAGTCGATGGATGGAATCCACCCACAGGAACCTGCGACAAGGTGACAAATGAATGACGACGACGGACACAGGGAGAAAAACGTATGTACTGGCAAAGTATAGCGTGAGTCCGGTGGCGCAGGCGGAGATGAGCGTTCCCCAGATGGCCGTGGCCAACACGGCGCCAAAGTTGCGGAAGAACGTCGTCCGCTCGACGGAAAACCCCGCTTCGTAGATGATGGGCGGCAGCAACACGTCGAAGAAGATGGAGTGGTGCAGCTGAAACGGCGCAGTCGCGTCGGTGTGCAGTGCCGCGAGAACGACCCCCGCGATACCGCCAACCAGCAACGCCAGGCCGCTCTTGGACAAGAGGGTGCATCGATACGAGTCTAGACCAAGGGACACAAGCACGAGAAGGATCAGCAGACCCAACAGCACAAGACTGCTGTCCATGTTTGTTGCTACAAAGTGACGGGAAACCAAATACAAAACTGATCACAAAGTGTGAATGGGATACAATGCTTGCAATCAACCAACATATGGTGTATATCGTATATAATATATATGCAACCATGCTATCTTTCTTTAAGATTTGGCTCTTACATCTGAAGGGTCGTCTTCCGGATATATCCGGTCAGCTCGGTTTCACGTTCTTATTTTTTCGGGAGTTGGTGGTGGACAGAATGCAAGCGGACACGGCACCAGGTACGCTTCTTCGATGCACAAGTATCGACGGGATGAAGAAGGTGGGTGTTCATGATGAAGCCGTGCAGTAGTAAACCAGGGACCGACGCAGCGCGTGAAGCGCCAAAAGTCCAAGCGATTGTCACGGCCCAAGTCGACCTCGCCTATGCCGACGGACGGTGACAGCGGCATTCGGGCAGCCGAAGGCACTGTCGATAGCGACGACGAGTTTCAAGAGTTCTTTGACGCAGGTATAGATTGTACTGTACATATGTCGGTACCTTCATCACGCGCATTCCTAACCTTCCTTGTTGCAGACCACGTTAAAGACATGGAGCGCCGTATGCACTTTCCTCTTCGTTGCTCGAATGGTAGGTTACGGTGCTGATGTTGTGTACATGTATGCGCTAGACTTGGGCAGCGACGACGGGTCATATTTCGACGCGATACACGCAGACGTGGCGGCGGAAAGCAGCGACGACGACGACGACGACAGCGACCTCCTCCTGGTGCATGACATATCGTTGGAATCCCATACTGCGATCGCATCAGCCGTTGTCGGACATGCAGGCTCGACGAATGATGACGTTGTTGAGGCTGTCGTGTCGTCTTTGAATGACGTTATCGAACCATCGTGGGACGAACCGGACGAAAAAGAGATGGCGAGGAAGGTGGACGGCGGCATTTACGAAGAGCTGCAGCTTGACGAGGACGAGCTCATGGCGGCGATGGCCGAGCAGGACCTGACTGAAGAACCCACCCAGGACAACGAAGAAGAAGACAACGAGAGCTTGGTGGATTCCGATAACGATCAGGTCTTTGCAGAGCGCGAAGAAGTGACGGATGCCGACGGACCCAGGGGGGTCCAGGATGGCTCCGCTGCCTCGGGGGGGAATGAAGACGAGTCCAGCGGTGCCGAGTTGGTTCAAGTTGTGGACGCCGACGATGCGTTTGAGCGTGTCGAGAGCCTGGGAGAGAAAGCCAGTGTGTTGGCATTGCAAACCCACGTCGTGGACGATGGAGCTGGGGACGCACCACCACTCATGGACAACGAGGGGCAACCAGAGACAGTCGCTTCTTCTTCAAATGTCCAGCCCTCCTTATCCTTCGCAGTGGACAAAGAGCAACGTGATGAGGAGACTACTCTGCAACGAGATCACGTAGAAAAGCACGACGATTCAGAGCTGGTGGTGGACGTTGTTGTTGACGTCATGCAAGTTGCTGCACAAGTCGCGATTGTCGACGATCATGGGCAAGATCGTGACCAGACGACCCACGAACGAACGACTGCCGCCCAAAACATGGAGACATACGAAATGAGTGATGATGACGTTAACATCCCATGCGACACTGTGCCGCCGCCATCCCAACGCGATACCATCATTCCAACCTTGGACCAAGTCCCAAACTCCACCCTGGACGATCACGTCATCGACGACAGACCCATCACGTTGTCCGTGGATGACGTGGACAAGGACGACGACAAGGTTGATGACGTGATCATGAAGACTCCGTCGGATGACGTATCACCTGATGCGATTGACGACACTGTGTTGCCCACGACGACAATTCAGCAGTTCGTCCCACCAACAGGAGCTGTCGGCCGGGATGATGACGTCATCACGCTGCCCCCTGCCCCCCCCGTGTCCGTCTCTATCAACCGGGCGGACTCTGCGGGTTCCGACGGTCGATGTACCCTCTTGGAGCCATCGACGGATGAGGAGGACGCGTCCGGATTGGCAACTCCGTTCGAACCATCGGCGTCCCCCACCACGGCGGCAAGGAGGCTGTCCACAAATCCATTCGACGACCACCCGCCGGGTACGCTGGCGGACGAGTCGGAGGCAGGTGCTGCTGCCGTCATCACCCTTCCTCCTTCTTTCAGTACCCCCCTCCAAGACAGCAACGGGGACGAAGCAGCTTCGACTTTGTGTACGTTTTGCCTTCTTCATTTCAATTAGTTAACAATGAACTAACTACCAAACCACTCGGTAAACAACTAACTGAACGGATGTGTGGATAGGCGTAACTAGTCCAGTGGACACGCCCCCTCCAGGTACTCACTCCATCTTGAATATACAATCGACTTGCTTTGACGATAAATATATATATATATTTATATTTGTGTTGAATATACAATCGACTTGCTTAGATGATATATATATATATATATATATATATTTGTGTTGAATATACAATTGACTTGCTTTGACGATATATATATATATATTTATATTTGTGTTGTAGTCGTATTCAATCCGTCCGACTGGCACGACGACGACGACGACAGCGACTCGGATGAGGTGACGGTGGCCAATACATACATTCGTGACAAATGAATGTAGGAAGTGGCAGTTCCACCTCCATTAGGTCTGCAGACAAAAGGAAGACGACGTGGAGATGAAGCCGACTGGAGTGATGACGACGAGCTCGAAGTGGACTCGGCGTTGGCCCTAACGATCAGCGCGCCGGACGTCGTCGCTTATGCTGCAGTTGCCCCCTCCTCGAACCCGTTGGCGGACGCACTGAGTGCCGCGATGGCCGAGTCTGTGACATCGTCCTCCGTCCTCCCCGTGCCCCGCCATGATTCCCTGCAGCTCGACCAAATGTCGTTTGGCATTTCGTACCAGAAAACCAAGACCAAACCACCACAGATCATGTCGACAGTGAACAGTGTCGCAGATGACGACATGCTGCTGTCCATACATTCGGCAAGAGACTCGAGAGATGACGACGACGAGTTTGGGGACGTGATGCGGACGGATGACGTCGAGTTGGACAAGCTGACCAACGCCCGACTGGCGAAAGAAGCCGCAAATGAAACGGCGATGCTAGCGCAAGTCCAACTAGCCACACGATTAGAACGGCTGGCGCTGGAACAAGCAGCAACTTCGTCACGAACGACCGAGGATATGGTGGGGATAGACCACCTCACGACAGACAAGACCGTGTTGGCAGAGGTAGACCATGACCAACAATACGAAATACAATAGTATCGTTTTCTGACTATATATATATGTATAAATGTGTCTATATATATATGTATAAATGTGTCTATATATATATATATATATATTAATGTGTCTATATATATATTAATGTGTCTATATATATATAAATGTGTCTATATATATATATATATATAAATGTGTCTATATATGTATATTAATGTCTATATATATATATATATATAAACGTGTCTATTTCGATTTCCAACGATATTGATACAAAAAAATTGGGATTTCCTATCCTCGTTGCATTTTGGCCGTATCGACTTGATGAAACCCCATCTCATTTGGTGGAAATGGTGGATAATATGAATATATATTACACTTTTGTGGAAATGGTGGATAATATGAATATATATATTGTGTACGTAGCTGCACGACATGTACAAGCGTGGGTTGGGCGATCAAGAAGTGGTGGCGTTGGCCAGCAACGAATCAGCCACAACCACCACGTTACCAGTCAACGTCCACATCACCCAAGCCATCGCCGAAGAGGACGAAGCCGACGAAAACACCAAGTCCATTTATCCGGATCAACCAACACCCCCATTACCGTCAGAGGACGAAGCCGCGGCGGCATGGAAGTCGGTCGAGGCATTCCAGCATGAGAAGGCGGCCGCGAGGAAACCCCATGAGCCATTCAGATGGATCCACTTCAAGGAAGCGCATGTCCATTTCCGAGATGCCGACTACGTCCGGCGGCATGAAGATGCGATCGTCGTGGAGGACGCCGACGCGGCGGCTCCGTCCGGGTGCCTCTCGTGCTTTCGGCCGCCCACGCTGAGCTTTCCGTCGGCGTTGGAGCAGCGCGACCTTGTACGTGTTGCAATATATGGCGAAAATATATATTTATATGAAAATATATATATGAAAAACTGACGAACGATATATATATATATATATATATATATATACATGTAGGTGTTTTGCATCGCGATGTGCACGTTTGACCCGGCCGTGTCGGTACACTACCGCACGTTGCAAACCATCTACCAAAAGGTAACGAACGTGCACTATATAAATAAATATATATATATATATATATAATTATATATATATATATATAATTATATAAATATGTATATATATAAATATGTATATATATATAAATATGTATATATATAAATATGTATATATATATATTTATATTAACTACCTACCTACGTAGATGACGAGCACACGTGGCGAATGTCCATTAAGCGGAGGACATTGGGAAGAGATTGGCTTTCAAGGGAACGATCCGTCCACGGACCTCCGCGGTGGCGGCATGCTGAGTCTGCTGCAGATGCTCTACCTCCTAGACACTTACGCCGAACTCGCGGGCCAGCTGTTTGCCCTGTCTCGGCACCACGAGTTCCACTTTCCCCTTTGCTGTGTACTCATAAACTTGAGTGTGCAAACGCTGGGATCGCTGCGCCAAGGCCGCCTTACGACGCTTTGCAACAAGGAAAAAGACGTGCTCGCGGCTATGAACAAGGTACGGCACTAGTAGTAGTAGGAGGATGATTGACGTTAGTTGGGGCTAGTTGTATGCAGTCATGGCGGTGCGGTTGGTCGCGGAATGGAAGGCCAAGCGGGGCGTGGTGGCGTTCCCCATCGTGCTCAAGCAAGTGGTGGATGAAGCGATGGGCATGCCGCTGCGAGCGGTGGCCGAGTCGGAGGCGGCGCTGGCGCTCAGTCGGGGCTGTGACACGGGGGAGATGGGAGACCAAGACTTTACTGACCTTAGCGACAAGTAGAACGATGTGGCAACAAACATCCCACAGATTGAGTAACTAATACTAGTTAGTCCAAGATACGATTAACGTACTGGTAGACTCATATCTTCGTGAATGTATTAATACTATTAATCCTGGTAATAGTACAATACACGTTACGATGTTAAGCACTCCACCTGGGTAATGAAAGTTACATGTATATTACTAGTAAGTTACTTCAAATTAGTAGTGTGTTTGTGGGATGTACGAGTACTACGTAGTAGTAGTACCTATTGTCGTGTGTTAGTTAATCACCGATTGTTGAGAGTACTGTATTAATAGTAGTACTACGTAGTAACAATACCCACCCTTTTGATGTAGTACTACCGGTATTAATACTTATTAATACTAGTCTCGTGAATGGAATACTCTAGAACTATAGCGTTATACTAACGTTAGTAGTGGTTTTGCATGGTATAGTAAGGTTGAATAGTCTCAACAGTAAATACAGTAGTAGTAGTAGGATGTTTGTGGTTTCTAGTAGTATTACTACCGTAGTAGTAGTATTTGCCTTTGTTAATCCTGGATTGGTGATTACTACTAGTAGTACTCGTACTACGTCATGTAGTAACAAGTCGATAGTATGTTAACTACCATTAGTTGATTTTGGCCTTGGAGAAGTCCATTTCAGGGTGCGCCTTCATAAACTTGTTGAGGATGTCCTGCTTGCCCATCTCTTCGCTCGTGGGCAGCCCCATCTGCTTCTGGCGCTGGTCGAACATCATCTTCTCCACCGTCTGCCGCGTCTCGCCGTCCAAGTCGCTCAGCTTCGAGTTCTCCGGCTGCACCTTCTTCGTATCGATCTCGTCGTGTCCTACGATGATGCTCTTCCACCACTCCATCTGGTTCTCCTTCTGCAGGTACAAGCAAATGCGGTTGTTGTCTTCCAAAGTCCAAAAGCTGTCTTCGACCTTGATCTTCTTGTGCAGGGTCCCGTCCACGAGCAACGGCTGGCCCTTGAGCCCGGCCTTCAACGTCGTCGACCGCAAGTCCACAAGCACCTGCTTCGACGTCGTTCCTTGGGGCACGGGGATCGTCACTTGCGCCTCCTGGAGCGTCTGCGTCCACACATAATGCTCCGTCTTGCCGCCATTACCTACCGCTGGGAATGAGACGAAATGCCGAATATGGAGCAAGTAAGTACCTTCAAGGGGAGGAGTGCCATCGTCCTTGTCCTCGTCCTCCGCATTCGCGTCGGTAGACGTAGGTGTCGCAACTACGGGGGATGGGGCTGCTGCGGGAGCTGGGGTTTTCACCGGCACGGGAGGTACAACGTCGTCATCGTCGGTGATTTCTTCGAAGCGGGATTGGGTCTTCCGGGACGCCACCTCTTCCTGCTCCTTCTTCCGCTTGGCTTCCAGACGCTTCTTCTTTTCCTTTTCGTCCTGCACCTTGCGATCATACCGTTCGCGCTCGGCAATCGCCGATTCCTTGCGCAACACAGACAGCACCATTTGCTCAATGGCGTCCTGGGTGGCCCCAGAGAAGAAGTCAGTCTTCCGGCGGAGGAAGCCAAAGACACTCGAGAGCATGGGCTCAATGCCGTTCTGCTGCTGGGCCATCTGCATCAAGAGCCCATCGAACCGTTCGTCGCTCATGTTGTCGCCACGGGAGTGTTGTGGAAATAAAGGCATCGAACAACCGTGGAAAGATTTGCATATTCCTGTAAGTGCGATTCTACGGTTGAAAGGAATTGGGGCCATTTGATTCGCTAAAACATTTATCCTTTTCCACTTTTAGAGCGTTTTGATTCACTATAAAATGAATTTACAAAGAATGGAACGGGATAAAATCGTTTGTATTGGCTAAAATTCATTAAACCCAATTAAGTACGGTTCAACAGGTGTAGCCAATCAGCGCCGACATGTCCAATTGCTGGTGTCAGACGCAAACAAGTCAACTGAGCGGCGGCATCATGCAGCGTTTCCTTCAACTGAGCGCGGAAGAAGCGTCCCTGGCGCTTCGACCGACCCTGGTCAAGGGTCGGTGGAAGAACCCGATGATTTCCCTTCGCCAGCAAGCGACCGTGAAGAAAGTAGCCATCCAAAACGGCACTGTCGGCTCGTGGACACCCGGCCAAGGCGGGTGGTTGGAAGCGTGGGATACGCAAAAGAAACACACGGTGATGCGTCCCCCGAAGGGACATGCGAATGAACGTCGCGAGGAAGACCGCGTCAAGAAGATTCAAGCGGCCATGGCGACCATGCCCAAGAAGATCGAGGAACACAGGGCGGCCCTGATCAAGGCCAAGCCGGTCAAGGGATTGGAAAAGTGGCTCAACGAAACCAGCGCCTATTAGGAAGCATGCCACAACAACAACGAATCAACACATAAACGGGGTACATTTTAAGCAAACCAGCGACTTTTGCGCCACACATTCCGCACTGACACACGTCTCTGGGACATTCATCCATTCCGTCTAGTCTATCTCCATGATGGACTGATGTTATCACTTGGACAGCTCATTCGGACAAATATACAGTGCCTTTCGCCCAAATTTGCCAATTTTGACGGATTACTTACTTATTCAAATCGCCCACAAATCGAGCAAAGCAGTATGATTGGATAAAAAGAATGAAGGGTGATTGAGCAAAGCAGTATGATTGGATAAAAAGAATGAAGGTTGATTGTGATTTGCAAATGAAATTTCGCAGTGAGATTTGTGATCGGTTTTACGAATCGCGCAGAATTGGGAAATTTGTAGCAAATTCATAATATATATAGATATAGATATTAGTAGTACCATTATATACTACGTAGTATATACGGTATATATCGTATACTGTATACCATATATATATATTTACTATTAATAGTATGGTATACATGTACACGTACAGTACAGCATTCACGCTATACAGAGCCCCACACTCTGTCTCTATTATTATTACTACGTAGTAACTACTTGAAACTGTACACTTTCTGAGGCAATCTGTGGATGATCGATCCTATTAATATCGTGACACTACTTGTATCTACCTACCTACCACACGGCAGCCCGCTGCTCCTTTGGCAGGTACATGCCATGGCCTTCGCCCACGTTGAATGCTTTGTAAAACTCTGGCAGGTTCTTCAGGGGCGCGACGGATCGCAGCTGGCCGGGGCTGTGCACGTCCACACTGAGGAGCTTGAGCGCCTGCTCGTCGCGGGCGTGGCTGGCCCAGAACTGCGACCAAGAGAGGAAGAAGCGCTGCTCGGGCGAAAACCCGTCGATCAAACCTGGCTTGGGGTGGTCACCAAAGTACAGCTCCATGGCGCGGAACGCAATCTTGAGCCCGCCAATGTCGGCGATGTTTTCACCCAGCGTCATCTGGCCATTAACAGACTTGCCCAGGATCTCGTACCCGTTGAACTGGTCCACCACGACCTTGGTACGAGCATTGAACGCCTCTACGTCCTCCTACACATAATATACACATAGTACACATCTTACATATACTGGCACTAGTAGTACTACTAGTAGGAGGGAACAACCATCAACACATACTAGTAGGAGTGAATGAACAACGAACGACCAGTATTGCTGTTTAACTGTAAACTGGAGCGACATGGGCAAAGCATCGAATCGACACAACCAAATGTACACAAGAATCGGCAGAAGGATTCAGCCAATCAGATTGCAGGAAATCATCATCGTCGTCAAATTAGTGTGAGACTTCAATTAGTGTGATACCAATCACCACAGGCCACCTTTTGATATACAAACTTCATAACAAACAATCGATCGATAGATTTGGCAAAGAATCAGCCCAAAAGTCAACCAAATTTTGGGTAAAACGACCATAAACACATCTGGTTGGGTTGATTCTCATGTGCGTTATTACTACTAGTACCCGTGTAGTTAATGAATTGACAATACGAAAAAGTACTCGGCAGAAGAAGAATTGAGCCAATCAGATTGTAGAAAACGATTTGATCAACATCTTATTTGTGTAAGACTAACGTTACCGGTACTGTTAAGGATTGGCACAAATCACCACAGCACACAAGAAACAAGCGATCATACGTGGTTAAAACGACAATCCTAGTAATACTAGTAGTAAGCAACAACTAACAACACATAATAACTACTAGTTCCCACCATATACATATATGTAGTCGCATCGGCGTACCGGTGTCCACCACTCGATCATGTTGCCTTGGGCATCAAACAGTCGGCCTTGATCGTCAAAGCCGTGTGTCATCTCGTGGCCGATCACGGCGCCGATCGCGCCAAAGTTCATGGCCACGTCACGGTCCAACTAGTCATCCCACACCCATCAACTACTACATACTAACCACAACGTACGTTGAACGCGGGACTCTGCAAAATGGCCGCGGGAAACACAATCTCGTTGTACATGGGGTGGTAGTACGCGTTCACGACCTGCGGCGGCATCTCCCAGCGCCACGGCTCGGGCGGCTTGTTCGCACGCCCAAACAAGTCGGCAAATCCGAACCGGTGGAGCTCCAGCACCATGTCGGCGTACGTGCCGGCCAACTCGATCGACGACAAGTCGATCCACTGGTCAGGGTACCCCACTTTGGCGCGGAAACTGTCGAGCTTTTCAATCGACTTGAGCTTGGTCGCAGGTGTCATCCAGTCGAGGGCGTCAATCTTCTCGCGCAGCGCGAGCTTGAGGTACCCGACGAGCTCGAGCATGGCCTCCTTGGCGGATGACGTGAAGTACCGGTCGCAGTAGACGGCTCCTAGCAAGTCACCGCAGCTCGTGTTGAGCACCTCCACCACGCGCTTCCATCGCGGCGCGAGTTCCTTGGTCCCCGACAACTTTTGCGAAAACGCAAAATTCGCGTCCACGTACTGGGACGGAAAGTAAGGCAGCAGTTGGTGCAGTACGTGCCACTTGGCATACGTTTTGTACTGCGGCAGCGACTCGGCCGTCAAGTCGGACACGACATGCGAAAAGAACTCGGGCGTCGCTTCGATCACAAACTCGGGGACCGACGCGCCCAGGCCTCGAAACGCCGCGACCCACGGAAAGGCCGACGCACGAAGTTCCACCTCCGTGCGGTTGTTGTACAATGACGCGAGATCGCGCATGGCCGTGCGCGTGCGTGAGACGAGCGCGAGCTTGGTTTCCAGTGCCACCACCGTCTCAGCGACCGCCGCGCCGCTGTCATCGCCGTGAAGGAGGTTCCACGTTCGTGTGATGTGATCGCGGTACGCTTGGAGCAACGGCGCCTTGTCCGCTTCGGTGTAGTAGTCGCGGTCCGGCAGACCAAGGCCGCCTTGCGACACCAACACACGAAGGATGTCCGACTGTTTGAAATCCGGCACCACCGTCAAATCAAACAGACTCCCCACTCCTTTCGATTGCAAGTACGTGACAGCTTCGATGAACGAGTCCACCGAGTCGGCGGCATCGACCCGCGCAAAGAGGGTGTTGAGGGCGACCGTGCCGCTGGCTTCCACAGCCTCTTCGTCCAGTGCGGTGCCCCAAAACTGCGCAATTTGGGCACTGGGCGTTCCAGGTTCCAGTGAACTCTTCTTGTCCGCCAATTCGTCGCACAAAGAGCGCAAGTTGGCAAGCACGGAGTCACGCAGCTGCAAGAAGGTTCCCCACGAAGGGTATTCGTCCGGGATCGGGTTCTTCTCAATCCAATGTCCCCAAGCGAACTCCTTGAAGTCTTCGCGGGGGTCCGCGGTTTGGTTCATCGTGTCCAGGGGAAGGCCCGTGTACAGCGGCGTCGTCGATGGCGGCATAGCGAGTAGAGTCGTGTGCGGATTGATTCGGATCGAAAAATGATGTTCTTGAAGAAGGGGCAGAATAAAAATAATCCGGTATTTATCCGGACGTTGTGGATGAGCTTCAACTTATAGGATATATGATGGCACCAGATGTACCAGTCGAGCGGGAATGCAGGTTTAACCTCCAAGATTGTATGGATTATATTTGGGTGAAGAGAATGCATGTATTTTGACTGAGTGATCATGACACGTGTGCATATGAAAATCCGCGCTTCTGCACGGTCACGACCTCATCGTTCGGGGCAGTCGACGCATTTCTTGTCATACGAGCGCCGAGGATGCAAGCAGCGCTGCTTCGGTTGCCGGTGTCTGGACACGACGCCGTTGAAATGATAAGTCGCACCTCCCTCTTCCTCCATCCGACCCAGTTCCACTTGACCGTTCACAGGCACCATGACTGTGTCCGGCTTGGTCACGACGACGGCTTCACCGTCTGGCAGCTGGCACTCGACGTGCGTGGCACTCAGGATCCGAGTCACACGCGCCAGAAGCACCTCGACTACTTCGTCGTCAACTTCAACTCGGTCGATCGGTGTTGAATCCAATTGTGGCGACGGCGGCAAGATGGCATGCCCTTTCTCCGCCGCCAAATCCCAAGGCGTTTTCCCCATCACGTTCGGAGATGCATCCGCCCCACGTGCCAACAACTGATCGACGATAGATGCATGTCCTGCCTCTGCCGCTTTGCTGAGCGCCGTCGACCCGTACCGTGTCTTGACGTTCACGTCGGCTCCCGCGGCAAGCAGTGTGCGGCAGATTTCGCCGTGTCCTGACGCAGATGCACACATGAGCGCCGTGGAGCCGAACATGTTGGCCTGATTGAGTACGGACGGAGGTACGTGCGGCAAGATGGCGCGGCACAGCGCGAGGTGTCCGCCGCGCGACGCCAATGTGAGCGCGGTCGACCCGTACGCATCCGTGGTGTCCCAGTCGTCAGGCCGAGGACTGGAGTCATCTTCGAGGAAGTCTAAGGCCACATCCGCCTGTCCTTCCTTGATCAGCGCAATCAAGTCAGCGGACGAGGCAACGACAGAGCTGAAGCTGCGGAGGCTCCCGCCAAACAATCGCCAACTTCGTCCAAGCATTTGTGGGGGACAGTGTAAAATAGTGTAAGCAGTTTAACGTTAGGTAATTGATCATAGTCACGTTAAATGCTAACGTTAATGTTATTATTAATATTACTATTAATAGTACTACGTAGTACTACGTAGTACAGTACTGTACGAGTAAACCTGGTACTCGTTCATAGCATGGTGAGTGTAGATCCCGCGAACGTACTGTTGGTTCAAGGTAAAGTTTTGCTGGTAAAATTAATACTTACTGTACTGCTTACTACCTTATACTACTGTGGTACAGTAGTAGGTAAGGATACCTGCGAACCAACATTACATTGTAAATACTAAAAACGTACTCTAGCGTTTTTTCATGACATATGTAGGTTAAACTTGAAAGGAACACACTTGCATGGCGAATGCTTCGAAGTACTACTAGTAATACTACGTAGTACTAGTAATTTGCATCGCAAAACAACCCTAACTATACTGTATAGCAACGACCTCTGGTAGTGCATTGATCTTCGTATATTACAGTCGCTTGGGTTTCTTGGCATCCAGCGCCCTTTGAAACTGGTTGGCTTTGCCTTCGTTGGCAACAAAGTCCTTACGTTTCTTGACCTTCTTGAGCTTCCCCTGGTCCAGCGTCTGGTCCCAAAAGTCTGGCTGTTTGGCTCGCTTGGCTTGATACAGCTGGGCGTTGAGTTTGCGCACGTGTTGGTTGTGCTCCATCTGCAGCTCCGCCGACACATCTTCGTCATCGTCGCGCCACTGCGGGACATCCGCCGACAGCAAACTGTTCTTGAACTTGGCGTGCGGTCGAAAGCCAGCCTTGACCACGGCGTGCTTGTGTGTTGCCACGTCATTCACGACGACAGCTTTTGCATTGACAGATGTAGGTACGAGGTATCGCTTCCACGGCGCAGCGAATCGAATATGGCGGTTCAATCGACCTCCAAATGCAGGGCCATAGACCACCGCCGCCGCCGCCTTTCTTGTTGTTGGTCGTCCTCCTTTGATGGGGCTTGGACATGTACCGACGACCGCGGGGATTTCTTCCCCACGACTAACATCATCGTCCCCACTCAGGCTTTCTTGGGACGTTTCCCCGTCGTCACTGGGCCCGCCTGCCACAACGTTCGTGGTCACTATCGGTGTCTTCAACGTCGGTGTCTTCAATGTCACTATCGGTTTCTTCAATGTCACTATCGGTTTCACCGGCACCTGGCGCGAATAAAATAGCATGTACGCGCGCTGTTGGAGCACTGTGTGGACGTTCACTACGCGGACAGTTTCGTCGTTCATTTCGTGCCACGTGCCCGCGGGACTCTTTACGAACGCATAATAGTGACCACAATCCGGCGACGCCCCAGCATGGACGAGCACCGCCGTGAGTGCGTACGTGGCATGCTCCTGGGGCGGGGTGGACAGTACGCGCGGGTTTAAGTGGAGGGTTTCGGCAAATGCAATGTGCTTTTTGAGTTTGCCGTGAAACGCATCAAACCGTTTCAGATGCAGCACCAATGCATTGGGAATGTCGTGGATGTTGAGGCCCTTGCTGGCGTGGCTTCGCTGGCTACAGCCCGAGCACTTCCATGCATTCGCCGCGTCTAACGTTTCCACGGCGGTGAAGTGCGCCAGCGCGGCCTCGATCGACGAAATCCCACTTGATACCTCCAACGACAGGTCCAGGAACGGCTCGACGTGCGCCGACACGAACTTGCACTTGGCGCACTGGACGTGGCTGCGCAAGGTCCCGCCAAACACCGAGTGCACGAGCGTCGAGTTCGCCACGGGGCTTTTGTCAGTCAAGCCAGCTTGTTTCAGCGACGCGTTGTGCAGCGAGTCCATGAGATGGCGGAAAAACTCGTGCGAGTCTTCTTGCCGCCCGATGCGGAATCCTTTGGCGATCTGCTTGAGGTTCACGACGATGTCCCGCGGCTGCATCACGCGAGGCGCGTTCGGCGCATGCATGAGAGAGAGGAAGCGGGCCATGGCCTTCTCGGCATGGAACGAACTACCGCCACCACCATGCATTTTGTGTTTGGAAGATGGAGCAGATGCAGCCTGGTTGACCGCGGCGCGACGGACCAAGTACTGGGCAAACGCTGGCGAGTACACGAGGCACTGCAGCACCGAGTTCAAGTAGCACGTGTTGCCGAGGTTCATGAGCCCAGGACCAATCTTCCTAGGATGGGCCCATCGCACCAATGCATGGATGTCGTCAACGGCCACGAGCGACGACGCTTTCTTGGATGTCGACGCTTGGACGCCGCGCGACGACGATTTGGTGTTCGCCGACATGCCGGCATTGGACGCTTTCTGCGCCCGACGAAAGTCGATGCGGCGCTCCTTGACCAACTGTGCTGCTGTCTTGAGCTGCACCGTCGTCCCTGTAGCGAGCATCATGTTGCCACGGTATGTAGTGTGGTCGCAATTGTAGGATATGTCGAGAACTCAAAGCGTTTCTTATAAAAAGACGACAGTATGCACGACCAACGCCATGAGCATGTGCTGCATTCGTGTATTTTTACACGATAAATCACGAAAAATGACATGTCACCCTGCCGTCGCGGGCGAAACCACCCATGTTCATTGTTGTGTTATCCGAAATTATCCGGATAACAGTGGCTGCCTCGTTTGACTGGTTGGTGGTCGATTTACAGGCACAAAGAAAAGTTAATGTATGTGTGTGTATCCACGTATTTTGCCCAATCCGATTCTGCGAGTGCAACTCCGTTGGTTTGATTTGCCAGTAAAATGAAATTGCGATGTAGATAAGCCAGTCAGAATTCAATATTTAGAAAATACACTCCAATTCAAAGAGCGCCTTGGGATTTGCGCAAGATCACACAGGTGCATGTTTTTGCGGTTTTTTCGAAAATACGAACCTTGATACCGGCATGGTGCAAGTCATCTAAAGACGACAGATCGGCCATCCTCAGGAGGAGACGTTTTACTATTACACGCCTCGGTTCTTTCAGTTAAACCCATGCAATTTTGACGTTAAATCATTATGAGTTACGTTGTTTACGTGGTAAATAGGTTAAACATCCTGAAGAATCCGGATACATCATACGGACAAGTTCTGAATACAAAGACCAAGATATACTTGATGCTCCTTTTCAAATGTGCCTGGCTCCATATATTTCCATACAAAAAGGCTGGTTAGTTTAAATTCTACTCGAAGTATTTATTACTTGACGACTACCAATTGTTCACCAATCGAAAATCTGAACTGTAACTTCAGTTGCATCAAATCAAAGCTGGAATGTGTATCTATCGAATGAGCCAATCCGCTTGCGATTACGAGGGAAAAATGTAAAATTTAGTCCAATCAGAAGTCAAGTGCTGCAATCATTATGGAACAGAGTAGTACTTTGACTTTTCCGTAACAAGATGGGCTTGTCCAGTAACTATCGTTATAGTTAATGCGTCAATGACCCCTAAACTTTATGACCTTATTTTTCAAATCAGAAAACCTTAACTCGCACCTCATCGAGGCATCCAAATGTGCTCCTGAGGTCGCTCCAAGTTTGTGATTCGAGTGGAGGCTGAATTTTGAGCATTTGTGTATATTAAGTGCCTATCATTAGCTTCCCATTTTACCAGAGATCAACATGACCTCTAGTAAGGTCGCCACAGTGTTGGCATGGGTTGAATGGGTTAACTCGTCCTGCAAAGGTGTCGACAAAGGCATCCAAGTTGCTGGGTTGTCATCCTGAATATTTAGGACCTATTTTATTATACTATTTCTATTATGGGTATACAAACTACTACTCACTCTGTCGCAAGTCTTTTACTCTAGTGTGTATTAAAATTGCAGTTGCATACAAACAATGAGTTAAAAAGTAAAATAATATGAAATGCTGCGAAAGATATGGATCAGAGTAGTATTAACTATGGCATATTGTCCTAAAAAATATCAATACAAAGTTGGAATAGCTGTCGAAAGACAAGGCATTTTTTTGTACTGGTAGTCTTTAGATGACTTGCACCATAGGATGATAAATCCAACCTCAAAATTAAATCCGACAATGCTTACGACATATTTGAAACGTCAACATAATCCGGATGATGACACGACTGACGGATGATTTGATTGGGAGATGATAGCCAATTAGATAGCGAGAATAAATTTTGCACATCAGTGGACAATTTGCGGCGCAGCCGTACAGTTCAGCGGCCTCATGCAGTGGTGTCGTCCAGAGTGCATCTTTCTGCGGGAGACTTGGGCGAGGGTAGGACCCCTGGAAACCCATCATCGGTAGCGTCGCTGGGAACTTGCATACCTGGCAACCATGTAAATGGGGGTGTGACCAGGCGCTGATGAACCAGACCGAAATTCGGTCTGGTTCATCAGCGCCTAGTTACACGAGTGGAGCACTCTGCCGACCATCGCAGCACATCAAGCTGCTTATTTACGGAGGTGCGTTGATCCGAACATCACTATTAAGTCTTTATGGTAGAATGAAGTAACAGACCATGACATTTGCGATATTATGGATAGGAGCAGCCGGAGGCCTTGCGAGTTTGCGCGACACGTTGTGGCTGTGGGAATTTGTCGCCCATGGCCACGATGCATGTGTTAAACGTTAAATTGCCATCGACAGGTATTCAACAAAACAACTATACTAGCATCTACCTTATTTGTCGTTGATCTACATCATGAAAAATGATGAAAAAAAGGTAATATATTTGGTGTAACTCAAATACCCTCGTCGACCACTAGCTCCTTTGCTCTGATTGGGTATAACACAAAATCAAAATTTGAAAGTTATCATAGTCATGCGACGCATCCGGAATAAGCGCGTCACGTTCACGGTCACGAAGAAACTCGAAATCGTGAAAGAACACCTTCGACACGGCACCACTGTCTACGCTCTTGCCAAGAGACACGAAGTGCAAGGTAATTGAGTACTGCGTTGGATCCAGTCACACGAGAAACTCAAGGCTGCGGTCCGTCGATCGCCACGTGCCGCGACAATCAACCCTGATCGTCCAGTTGCAAGACCCGCAGTGGAAGAGAGCCTGTTGGAGTACTTCAACTAACTACGAGACTCCGATGTGGCCATCAGCACGAAGATGCTTGTCCTCAAAGCCAGGAACCTCGACCCAGAGTTCCATAGTGATGCAGACAAGCCGCTAACGTCGTGTCTACCAGTTTTTGCGACGACAATTCCTGAGCATTCGACGCCCCACGCGCCAGGGCCAGAAGATGTCTGGGGATGTCAAAAACGACTTCGTTGCAGCGGTGTGTGATCGTCTCATGCCGTTTGGGTCCATGGAAGGCGTCCACTGGAACCACGTCGTCAACATGGACGAAACGCCGGTGTATTTTGAACCAAAAATTAATACCACCATTGCGCGTAAAAGGTTGAAGACGGTGTCGGCTCGTGTGTGATCGTCACACAATCCACGGATTACTGTGGCGCTTACAGTGACAGTGACTGGGAAGCAGCTCCCTCGGTTTGTGGTGTTTAAGGGCGTCCCGGGGGCACGCATTAAATCGGGGCTTGGTGTTATCCTCCTCGACGGCGTGTTTGCAACATGTCAAGCGTCGGCCTGGATGGACGAAAGGACGACGAAGCTGTGGGCCGACAAGGTTTGGAATGGGTTCGCACAGCCACTGGCGTCAAGTTTCCTGTTGCTGGACGATTATAAGTGCCACAAGCAGTCATCGTTCTGCAACAAGCTGGCTGGTGTAGTGTATGTACTACTTCGAAGTATATAATGTTATTTCCGTGCTATTTTAATAATATATGTGAAACTTGTAGGTGGATTCAGTTGCGTTCTCCAACCCCTCGATGTTGGAATCAACAAACCTTTCAAGGACAATGTACGGCACCAATACATGATGTGGGCGTCCAAAAACATGCCCGGCAACTCGGTTGTCCCGACACCAAGTCGGATATTGTACTGCAATGGATTTCAATTGCATGGAACGCAATCTCTGAAACGACCATGCTCAAGATGCAATATATGCGCAAATGCGGATATATTGCATCAGTTTAATCTATGATAATCCTCAATATGTTCGATCAAAACTGCCTTTACAATGCCAAGGTTTCGGACGGAATTGTCGTGCTTCGCTTTGCTTGGGGAGTTGCTGTAATCTTCCACCACAACAGCAGTCTTGTTGTTGTACTTCTCCTTGTGTTTGATCAATCGACGGGGCAAGAACACCACATGACAGCGAACGTCGGCCCCCACAAGGCGAAAAGCCACAGTGCGTACATTCTTTCGTCCAGAATTTCCTAATATAGTAAAACTTTAAGAATGCATACTCACACAACTTGATGTAGAAATCAGAAATATTATATTCCACAGTATTTACCCTTGAATTTTGAAGTAACATCGGCGATTTTGCTGCCGAGTGACGCACGCCCCCGGTGCCACACGCGAGCCAGTGGCAGTTGTACTGATCAGCAAGGTCCTTTAGTCCTCCTCCATGCGGAAGCTTGCCACATTTGGACCTCCCCAAAAGCACCTCGTAGAGTCGTTGTCGCTGATGGAGTGTGAAGTGCCTCGTTCTATGCCACCAGCACTTGGCCAAACCGAGGAGGTATCAGGCGGCATGAATTGTGGTGTCATGAGGAAGGGGAAAGCGCTCGAGGAGTGAAATTGGAAAATGATTCCTCCTTGGAGCGATTTATATGCTTGCTATCTGACCTGCTTGACTCGAAGGACTATTACTTTTGATCCAAAAAACGAGCTGAAACTGGTGCAATGTAGCCAATCAAAGTTGAGATCTTGCACTTTTCAATGCACCAATCAACTATTGCTATTCGACATTTTTAGAAAAATCCCGCCAGTTAGAAAACAATATATCATCCTTTTGGAACTACATAATGATATGAACCGTGCATTTCCATTTCTATACTTGAAGCAACATAAAAATCCAGCATAAAGAAAAATCTATACTTCCGAAACAAAATGCTTGGTGACATCATTATCAATAGATCATACATGTACAGTACACGCATTTTCAACAAACACGTGAACGTGCCATGATCCCGCTGCTGGACTCATTTCGATACCGACTTGCTGCGAAGGTTGGCAAACCCTTACGCAAGAGCCGAACCAGCATTGGGCAGCCAGTTGAGCTCTACCTGAGCAAGACAGCGTCGTTTGGAGTCGTCAGCACCATGCTTGTCGACGCCATCACCTCCATTGTCACTGCGCATCATGCAGAGCCAACAAATTCCAAACTGATCTGGGACCTGAAACTACAAAAGATGTATATGTGAAAATAGCAGCAAAACTCAACGCTAGATAAGTACATCAAACTAACCATGGGCAATTACAACGAGGTCATCCAGCAAGTCTGGGTAAAAAGAAGGTCCGTAATGATCAAGCATCGTTTGCATTGTTGCTGTTCGTGTACAATACATTGATAATATTTTCTACTGTATTCCACCAATTCAACTAAAACAGTACTAATACTGAACGAACAAATTAGACAAAAACACCGAAGGTGCAGG